TATTATTTTAGTTTATATGTATAGAAGTATTTTGTAATATTTTTTTTTTTTTTTTTTATCTTATTTATTATTTTTTTATTTATTTTTTTTTCTTTTGCAATTTTTTATATATATTTTTTTCTCCTGTTATATATTACTTCATTACTTTTGATTATTGTAATTATAGTAATGTTTATGGATATAATATATATCTCAGTTGTTGTATTTTTACTTTATGTAATGTTTCAAAACTATAATAAAAAAAAAAAAAAAAAAAAAAAATTCCCCTATAGCACATGTGTTTGGACTGTGGGGGAAACCGGTGCACCCAGAGGAAACTCTCGCCAACACGGGGAGAACATGCAAACCCAGTCGGGACTCAAACTAGCAACCTTCTCACTGTGAGGTGACTTTGCTAACCACTGAGCCACCATGCCGCCTACCTATATATGACATATAATTTCTTATAAAATAAAATTACAATTCCAAATTAACATTTTTTTATTTGATCTGTATATGAAAGCAAAAAAATAATGCAAATGATCATTTTAATTATTATTTCTTAACAAATATATAAAAAATGAAAAGAAAAAAATAAAATACTTTTCCATTTAACATTAAACAAAAAGATATTTAAGAAAAAAAAGAATTATGATCATAATAATTCAATCATATTCTTATTATTAGTGTTATTAATATATTGTTAATACAAAATTATTATGTAATTACAACAATGCCAATATTTATGGCTGTCCCAATTTAGTTTAATTTCATAAAGCAATTCTGTTAACACATTTTTAAATCATACATTTATTTAATTAAACCACGGCCTTTACATTTTGATAGTTGCACTATTGTGTTTTCATCTTTTATTTGTATTAATATTGCATCCCTAATAACACTGATAAATAAACGGTATAAAACAAGACTCGTACAAGTAAAGAAGGAAACAGCAACACAAATTCACGATTCTTCACATGAACCTCCATCTGGTTTGCATTATCCCGCTGTAATATGGAAAAAAACAAGCAGCTTTGCGGACCACCAGCCAAATCAGGAAGTGATTGGGAACAGCTTCCTGTTTCCTGGTTGCTCCCCTTTCCAGAAGCTCCTGAGTGTTTCCTCCAGACACGAGCTGAGCTCCATCAGGAAACCCGGACACAAATTTAAAAACTAAACTGACGGAGCCTCCGCTTCCTTCCATCAACACATCTGATCATAGTCTGCTAACCGAGAATCCATTACTCATAGATAAACACCCCTAATGACACCACCACCAGACTGCCATTGAGTAAACAATGTAATCATGCAATTCATAAAAAAGTAAATGTAATCTGATTGCGAGTATTTCAAAAGTTTACAGTTTGAGTTGCATTAAAGTTTAAAGTTTGAGTTGCATTATGGGATGTTGATATCTGCTCTGTCCACTTTAGATGTTGTTAATTCAACTCTACAGTTTAACAAAGTGACTTTTACTGACATTTTAGTAGTTTAAAATAATAATATAATGTATAAGAAATAATATCTAGAGGAATAAGTCTGTAAAATAACAGAAAATGTGTTGCTGTTTATTACCAGGTTTTTGTAGCGTAATACACAACACCAACTGGAGCTGCACAATATATAATCTCAGCATCGATATCACAATGTGCGTATCCACAATAGTCACATTGCTGGATCTGCAATATCGAATCGAGATATAGTTGACTACACACATTGAAAACACACATTATTGTGGAGTAATTGCAAAGTTTAACTAAAAAGTTACCAAAAAATTTTTAAAGCATTCATGCACAAGAAATGAACATGTTTGTAATTTTAATAAAGATTAATTCTATTCGTGTACAGTATAAAAACACAATGAAAATGATAGTGTCATTATACATTTTATTATTCAAGTTACTTAAATACTATCAGACTCCCAGAAAACATTAGAGCAATTATTAAATTTCTAACTAGACTGCTTTGCTGTATTTACTGTGATTGGTTTATTACATTTTATGCATATGTGCTACAAACAAATTCTTTGCAAAAAGAGCTATTCAACTTGTCTGGTAAAATTATATTCAATATGCATCGCAAAAAAAAGTAATATCGCAGTTTGAGTTTTTTCCAATGTCCTGCAGCTCTAAAACCAATGCCACTGCAAACTACTTTACAACTTTTCAAGGTTAAAAGTTGTTTGAGGAAAGATGAAGATCCCATAATGCAGAAGCAGAAATAAAACGGGAAGTATAAAAAATACAAACATGAATCACAAAATACTGAAAATTAATTTACAGATATTGTTTTACAGTGCAGCTCTGTTTTCGTATTCAGTCAAAAAAAAAAAGCCCAGATATTTCACAAGCTAAAATGATTCTCCCGTATGGAGATTCAATCTCGGCAGCATTAAGAAAAGCCTTCATCGACGTTTTAAGAACAACTTATGCAACTGGACTCGTCGTGAGAGACCCATCTCTGCATCTGCTCAAACAAACAGACTTTCAGTTTCTTTAGGGTGTGACACGACACTATCGACTGATAAGATCAACCACAAACTAGATTTCACTTAGAGCTCATCCTGGTTTCCTTTCGATGTGTGAAATGCGTAACACAGAGCGGTCAACCGAGGCCAGACTAGAACTACCTCTCTAACTCTGGTGAAGCAATGTGGTTTAAAATAACAAATTGACTCGCAATCATTCAGGCCTCTCTGTTTTATTAAGAAACGTCCATGCAAAACTGAAGTCCAGTCATATTTATTTATATAACACATTTACCATTCACAACCACATCAGAAATCAAGTTTTTGTCTTGTTTCTTTAGTGCAAATATCTGAAAACTTCGTAAATCAATAAGCATTTTCTAAACATGCAGAATACATGCAGAAGATGTTGTCTTGTTTTCAGAAAAAAGAGTCAAAATTAGTTTTTCTTTAAAAAAAGAATAATCTGCCAAAGGGGCAAGCAAAATATTATTTTAAAGCAAAAACAACATTTTTTTGCTTACCATATTGGCAGATTATTATTTTTCTTAATTTTGACTTATTATTTGTGAAAACACATCAATAGTTTTTGCTTGTCTAGAAAATGCAGTTTAGACATTTTTAGATATTTGTACTAGAAACAATTTTTACATAAATAATTAAAAATAACCATGATTACATTAATTTTTAAACAACACCGTACTGATATTTTATATTCAGAAGAGTAAAGCCAATATATGAAGGAATTAAGCAGACTTTACAACCATAACAAGTGAAATCTATATATTCTGAGAAAGGGCTCTAAATGACAACATTTTTGCTTGAAATTTGGAAGAAATTTTACTTTAAAGATATTAAACATACCTAATAAATGCAAAGAAACTAAGAATTATGTTGTGGTGGAATACCACATTTATGATAATTACATATTAATTAAAATAAATACAGAACAAACAACATTATAAAATATTAATTTGGCATGATTTCAAACAAAATCAGCAGCTATTTCTCTAATAAAAAAACTAAATATTTATATGTTGTAATTTTAATTGTAAAATCAAGTATGCCACATTAATTGCCAAAATAATGTAGTTTCTACAGACTTAAAATGAACAGAAAAAGGCCTCTGAGAACAGCGTGAATGCTTTGGTAATTTCTCATCTTAACGAGCGCTACAATTAGTTATCACAGAAATGTGCATAGTCAACTTCTGGCTCAGCACATTCGACATCATCATGTTCACTGATGTTTGTTTTACAAGCAGACTGTGAGATATTTAAATAAAACAGTTTCATGGCTGCATATAAAAGTGTCCGACTGCACTGTGGTGGTGCATATGAAAATGAAGAGCAGGGGAGCCAAACACGTGCCCTCACCGAGCTGGAGCGCCTTTACTGTGCCCTACAGAGATTAGATTAGACCTGCAGCACTGCCAGCGTGTGTGTCTGTGTTCTGCTTTAATCTGAGTCACCGACACACACACATTCACTTCATACAGGAGAGCTGAGCAACACAAGAGAAAAACAGACACCAACACACACAGCTGAGGAAATAATGTGAAATTACAAATGTCACGCTTATAGAAAGTGAAAGAGACGAAGCATCCAGACTGCATCATCTCAGTATTTATCAAGTGTACATCAGTCAGACAATACTCAAACTGAGAACACACACACACACACACACACACACACACACACGCCGGTTTCTGTTTTATGGGCTCTCCTCCTCATAGCTGCACTGTTTCTAGTCTACCCTGCTCCCAAATCAACAATCATAGAAAACAATCTGCACTTTCACATTTTTCAAACACTTTTCCTCATTGAGACCAAAATAAAGTCCCCACAGGGTTAAAAAAAATACTGGTATTGCTATACTTGTGGGGACATTTGGTGCACACAATGATGCATATCATAACCACAGACACACACACACAAACACACAGCCATGGAAAGAAAATCACACGTGTTTATGTTTCTGTAGGAAACAATGATTTAATCAGCTTGTTTTACTTGTTGTTAAGCCTGTTTAAATGATTTCAGATTACCGAACGTTAATATCCTGACTAGATATGTTCTGCATCCACAGCTGGACTGAAACACACACACACATCTGTCACACACACCAACACACACACACACACACACACACACACACACACACACACACACACACACCAGCAGTAAAATGTGTCTGCATGAACGCACAGCGAATGATAGACATCTGAAGGCTGAAAATAAAGGATTAGTGAAGGAACAGACGCAGATTTGAGGGCTCGAACATCGCGCGTTTTCAGTCATCTGGATGTGCAGATATTAGCGAACTAACCGTTAAACTGAGGCGACATTCAGACTACAAATATCTGCTTATCCACAATGTAAAACCAAATAAATGCTACGTAAATATCTTTACTGGCCTCTAAATTATATTTTTTAACATTCATATCACATCCATCTTCTATAAAAATCTCTCATTCTCACAATAGGCGCTGCGCGCGACCGTGTAATTTCAGTCAGAATGTGTGTAAACGGTGTCGCGCGGCTCCAAAACTCACCGATTTTAATTTTGACGCTCTGGAAAACCCGAAGCCCTTCTTCTTCGACCGCCATGCTCGAGCTCCAGATGTTTTCCGCTTCTCCGTCCGTTCTCCGCCGCTGTGGAGACTCTCCGTCGGTCTCAGTACTCCAGCGCGCGGTGACTCACCGAACTGAACGCGCTCCCGCCGCGGACGCGACCGTTCCTCTAGGAGGCGGAGTCTAGACGGATTTATCGTGTTCTGATTGGATGAAAGAGGGTTGGGTCAGGAAGGGGGCGAGGGCTGTCACAATACACCGCGTCGCGTCAGAATCAGTTTTCGTCGCGTCGCGCTGATTGCAGTCTAGACGAGCTGATCAAAATCGTATAAACATTTAATTAATCGTCACCGAATAGCAGATCTGTCGGTCATTTTTACACACTTTAACTTTTAACAACTGCTTTCACTTTTGCCATTTTGCTCTTTAAAAACTACATCCCCTATTAATATCATGGGAACCTCTTCTTATTAAATAAATAAGCTCTGTACTATAAGTGTCAGTGCAAAACTGTCTTTCTGTTTTGGATTTGGCTTGAGTCTGTACTATAAATAACACGAGTGTGGTTTTGGGGACAGGAGTCATCCTCGCTGAAGGCCTAACCACACAATCTGCCCTGGCTGATGGGAAGCAACATGAGAAATCTCTGATTATTTGAGCCTGCTTTAAAAGATGCGGCATGTTTCCATCATGTTATTGAACATTAGTTAGGCATGATAAAAAGGACATTATTAACCAACTTAAAAACAATTCTGTCTTTTTTTTTTTTACTGCTAAATTCATAAATTATCCTCAAATTATAGTTTTGACTTGGCTGAAAATGATGAAAATGGATGGATGGGTGTAATTTGTTGCATATAGTTTATTTGTTTCCCTCAAAGTACAATTTAACTTTGGTTTAAACTTTAAAATGTTCATTCATTCATTTTCTTTTCGGCTTAGTCCCTTTATTAATGAGGGGTTACCACAGTGGAATGAACTACCAACTTGTCCAGCATATGTTTTACACACATGAACATGCAAACTCCACACAGAAACGCCAACTGACCCAGCCGGGGCTCGAACCAGCAACCTTCCTGCAGTAAGGTGACTGTGCTTACCCACTGAGCCACCGTGCCGCCCAAAATGAAAAATGTATAAATGTATTTTAATATTAATCAAATTTTAATTCCGGCCTTGGAAGAAAATACATTGATAAAATGTTTGTATCTTCTCAGAATATGATCACAAAAACATCTTTTACACCTGTTTCAGGGTGTTCAGATAACCTGCGCTGCCTTAATGTTTGCCAAACGATAATATGGAATGTTCCATTAGCATTTGCATAACCAGTGAGATGGCTTTTTCATATCACTTAACAAAAAGGCATTCGCAAAACATCCAGAAATTATATTTCCATAGCTTAAAGTGATGCTACAGTTTAATACATTCATTCATTCATTTTCCTTCGGCTTAGTCACTTTATTCATCACATTAACATTCTTACACACATTTGGCATAATGAAAGCATGTAAGTCAGTGAAATGTTTTCTGTTCCAGTGGTTTTTGGATATTTTAATAATAAAATCGAACATATTGTGCATTTAATTCACACATGACTTGAGCGCAGCAGATTCAGGATCAGCAAAGCTATTATATAAATGTAATATATTTAATATAGGCGATGCAGTGGCGCAGTAGGTAGTGCTGCCACCTCACAGCAAGAAGGTCTCTGGTCCGAGCCTCGGCTGGGCGTTTCTGTGTGGAGTTTGCATGTTCTCCCTGCGTTCGCGTGGGTTTCCTCTAGGTGCTCTGGTTTCCCCCACAGTCCAAACACATGCGCTATAGGGGAATTGGGTAGGCTAAATTGTCTGTAAATATGAGTGTGAATGAGTTTCCCAGAGATGGGTTGCAGCTGGAATGGCATTCGCTGCGTTAAACATGTGCTGGATAAGTAGGTTCATTCCGCTGTGGCGACCCCAGATTAATGAAGGGACTAATCTGAAAAGAAAATGAATGAATGAATATTTAAATATAATTATATAGTACTTATTGTACATTTCTATCTTAATGTGATCTGCAGTTTGACACCTAAACGAGTGTCTGAGATCTGTTTCACAGGTTTAAGTTACACTCATTCACTCACTTTCTTCAGGAGCCAGATGAGATTTCAGAGACTGGAAATAAACTGGATGAGCTTGATCGCTTTATTGCACTCCCTGTGTTATTTTTATGGCATGTTTTACTGCAGTGAGCCTGTGATAATACATGCCATAAATGCGCTCTCTGTATCCAGCACATATTCCCTTACAACAGTGATTATAATAACTGTAATAGGCAAATTATTGTTAACGCACTGCTATCCTGATAACAACTGTCCCTTCCCACATGAAAAATGTGTGGGGTTCCTCCGGGTGCTACGGTTTCCCTCACAGCACAAACACATGTGCTCTAGGGGAACTGATCAACTAAACTGGCCATAGTGTATGAGTGTGAGAGAGAGAGAGAGAAAATGAGTGTGTATGGGTGTTTCCCAGTGGTGGGTTGCAGCTGGAAGGGCATTCGCTGTGTAAAACATATGCTGGAATAGTTGGCGGTTCATTCCACTGTGGTAGCCCCTGTTTAATAAAGGGACTAAGCCGAAAAGAAAATGAATGAATGAATGTGTTTCTCTCTCCTGTCAAACACAAAAGAAGATATTTTGAAGAAAGCTTAAAAACCGGTAACCATTGACTTTCATAGTATGTGTTTTTCCTAAAGAAGTGAATGGTTACCAGCTTTCAACATTCTTTGAAATATCTTCTTTTGTGTTCAACAGAAGAAAGACAAGCAGGTTGGAACAAGAGAAGAGAGATTAAATGATGATAAAATTACATTTTTGAGTGAATTATCCTTTTAATTTTGGGCTAAACGGTCTCAGTTCACTCAAAAATAAACATTTACTCACTATTTACTCAGCCTCGAGTGATTTCAAACCTTTATGTGTTTCTTTCTCCTGCCGAACACAAAAGAAGATATTTTGAAGAATGCTAAAAAACAGTAACCATAGATTTTTATTGTAATTGTTTTTACTACTATGGAGGTCAATGGTTACAGATTTTCAGCATTCTTCAAAATATCTTCTTTCATGTTCAGCAGATGGAAAAAGACAAACAGGTTGGTACAAGTGAATTGTAATTTTTGGGTGAATTGTCCCCTAAAAGGGTTAGTTCACCCAAAAATAAACATGTAGACACTTTTTACTCAATCTCTAGTGGTGTTACTATTGTTGAACACAAAAGAAAATATTTTGAAGAATGCTGAAAACCGGTAGTCAAGTAAAGGGCGAGTAAATGATGACACTTTTTTGTTTAGGTGAACTATCCCCTTAATCTTGGGGTGAAATGTCCCCTTAAATAGTTCACCCAAAACTCAAAATTCACTCACTATACTCAGCCTCGAGTGGATTCAAAGCTTTGTAAGTTTCTTTCTTATATTAAAGACTAAAGAAAATATTTTGAAGAATGCTAAAAACTGTAATCATTGACTTCTATAGTGTGTGTTTTTCATATGGATGTCAATAGTTACTGGTTTTCAACATTTTTCAAAATATCTTCTTTTGTGTTCAACAGACGAAAGTAAGTCATAAAGGTTTGTAACAAAGGAAGGGAAAGTAAACGATGACAAAATGTACATTTTGAGTGAACTATCCCTTTAATTTTGGGCTGAATTGTCCCCTTAAAAGAATAGTTCACTCAAAAATAAACATTTACTCACTATTTACGTGATTTCAAACCTTCATGTGTTTCTTTCTGCTGTCAAATAAAAAAAAATATTTTGAAGAATGTTAAAAAAGTGTCCCAACTATGCAAGTCAATGGTTACCGGTTTTCAGCATTCTTCAAAATATCTTCTTTTGTGTTCAACAGAAGAAAGATAGTCAAAGGTTTGGAACACGTATAGAGAATAAATGATGACCGAGTGTGCAGTGTTGTGTGTCTCCTGAAGCAGGTTGTGTAGTGTTTGTGTAGTGGTGTGTTGTGTGTGTCAGTGCTGTACAGATGAGTATTGTTGCCTCGGCTGCAGGTATTACTGTCTGACCCGTTTAAAATAGCACCACGGCTAATTGCATTGCTCCAATCCTGCACGTCAGCGAGCAGGAGTCAAAAACGGCCCACTGGTGACGTCTGCATGCAACTGTCAGACCGGTGTGTGTGTGTGTGTGTGTGTGTGTGTGTGTGTGTGTGTGTGTGTGTATTGACGTACATACAAAACATGTAAAGACAAACAATGCATTGTCAAGCAGTACCGCATGCAAATCTGACAGCAGCAGCAGCACAGGTCTGAGAACAGTGCTGGGAGGACGCGCATGCGTGTGTGTGTGTGTGTAACCCACCGTTTGATGTTTTATTTTAGTCCAAACAGCACTGACTACACCCTGTGGTAAACCATCAGGAGTGTGTATGAGTGTATATGTGTGTGTGTGTGTGTTTGTGTTCGAGTTTGTGTGTGAATGTGTGTGAGTCAGTGTGTGTTTGTGTGTGTGTGTGTGTGTGTGTGTGTGTGTGTGTGTTATTATGTGCGTGGATGTGTGTGCATGTGTGTGTTTGTCTGTATGTGTATTTGTTTCTATGTGTGTGACTGAGTGTGAAAGTTTGTTTCTGGGTTTGTGTGTTCATGTTTGTGTGTGTATGTGTGTTTGTGTGTGTGTGATAGTGAGCCAGTGTGGGTTATGTGTGTGTGTGTGTGTGTGTGTATGTATGTTTGTGTGTGTGCATGTGTGGTTATTTGTGTGTGTGTGTGTGCACGTGAGAGTGTGTGTTTCTATGTTTGTGATTTCATGGGTGTGTGTGTGTGTCTGTGTTTGTGTGCTCATATGTGTGTGGGCTTTTGTGTGTTTGTGAGTGTATGTGCAAGTGTTAATTTTGTCTGTGTGTGTGTGTGTGTGTGTGTGTGAGAAATCAAGCGGATCTCTATGGATCGTTCATGTTTCTAATACTGTATAATCCACACACACATACACACACACACACACACACACACACACACACACACATGAAGAGCAGAAAACAGCAGTAAAATCCATATTCATAAAGCCCTCATTGTGCTGCTGTGTGTGTCTGTATTGCTGCTGTCCCAGATTCTCCTGCTGAACTGAAGTCAGTGACAGTATTTCTGCATTGTTGTGTAATGGCACAGTTACTGTCTGTAAACGGCACAACATCACACTGACTCTGACTCCGCATGGGCCTGATTTACTTCATACACACTGTAAAACACATCAGTTAATGAGCAGTTTCTGTCATTCATTCAATTTCCTGGAGCTTAGTCCCTTTATTCATCACAGGTCGCCACAGTGGAATGAACCGCCAACTATTCCAACATTTGTTTTACACAGTGGATGCCATTCCAGCTGCAACCCAGTAATGGATAACACCCATACACACTCATTCACACACACACTCATACACTACAGCCAGTGTAGTTGATCAGTTCCCCTACAGCGCATGTGTTTGGACTGTGGGGGAAACCGGAGCACCCGGAAAAACCCATGCCAACACGGTGAGAGCATGCAAACTCCACACAGAGACACCAACGGACCCAGCCGGGACTCAAACCAGCTACCTTCTTGCTGTGAGGGGATTGTGCTACCCACTGCGCCACCGTGCTGCCCTGAAAACATTAATGTAACATTTTATTTATTCCATTTAATCTTTTTTAGCATTATAGAAATGTTCTCACACTCATTCCAGCATTCCTCTCTGCCAGGTCAGCACTGGAGCGAGAAATTAAAGCAGTGTGTGGAATAAACAGGCCTGTGTGTGTTGAATGCTGAAGAAAACTCACAGAGGAGCAATGCTGTCATCTAGTGGACCAGGCAAACACTGCACACAAATATATATGACACATTCATTCATTCATTTTCTTTTCGGCTTAGTCCCTTTATTAAGCAGGGGTCGCCACAGCGAAATGAACCACCAACTTATCCAGCATATGTTTTATGCAGCGGATGCCCTTCCAGCTGAAACCATGTACTGGGAAACACCTATACACACTCATTTACACATACACTACAGATAATTTAGCCTACCCAATTCCCCTATAGCGCATGTGTTTGGACTGTGGGGGAAACCCACGCCAACACAGGGAGAACATGCAAACTCCATACAAAAACGCCAACTGACCCAGCCAAGGCTCGAACCAGCGACCTTCTTGCTGTGAGGTGATTTGAAGATATTGTCCACACATTTTTAAACATAATCATTTTAATAACTAATTTCCAATCACTGCGCCACCATGTAGCCCATTTAAAAATATACAAAATAATAATAATAATATTAATAACAACAACAACAACAATAAAAAAATAATAATTTTAATAATAATAATAATAATAATAATAATAATAATAATAATAATAATAATAATAATAATAACAACAATAAAATATTAAATAAAAATAAATAAATAAAATTCACAAACATATAGAGTTGAGTCAGAATTATTAAACCACCTGTACAATTTTAAGTCTTTTATATATATTTCCCCCCTGATATTCAGTTTATTCCAACACATTTCTCAACATATAGTTTTCATAATTAATTTCTAATAACTGATTTCTGTTATGGCGTCATGGTGGCGCAGTGAGTAGCACAATCACCTTACAGCAAGGTTCGAGTCCCGGCTGGGTCAGTTGTTGTCTCTGTGTGGAGTGTGCATATTCTCCCTGTGTCGCCGTGGGTTTGGATGTGAACGAGTGTGTATGGGAGTTTCCCAGTGATGGTTGCAGCTGGAAGGAAATCCACTGTGTAAAGATATGCAGGATATGTTGGCGGTTCATTCCACTGTGGCGATCCCTGATAAATTAATGAACTTAGCTGAAAAGAAAATGAATGAATGAATGATTTCTTTTCTCTTTGTCATGATGACAGCACATAATATTAGACTAGATATTCTTCAAGACACTAGTGTTCAGCTTACAGTGGCATGTAAAGGCTTCACTAGGGTAATTAGGGTAAAATTAGGGTAATTAGGAAAGTCATTGTATAACAGTGGTTTGTTCTGGAGACAATCCAACACTAATATTGCTGAAGGGGAGAATAATACTGACCTTACAGTTGCTTTAAAACGCTTAAAATCTGCTTTTATTCTAGCTAAAATAAAAAAATATTTTTTTTTCCCAGAGAAAACAATGTTAGAGGAAATATTGTGAACAATTGTCCTCATTAATTAAATATCACTTGAGAACTATTTAAAAAAAGAATTAATATTGCATAGGAGTATGGGGTTCCATTTGTGCCAAAATTCCCATGCATGCGGGCAATGAGAGTAGACAAAGACAAATGTAAAGTACAAAGCAGAAAGCAAGCTTGGGAATTTTGGCACAAATGGAACCCCATATAGGAGGGCTAATAATTTTGACCTCAACACAGCTCTTGCACACATAATACACATTTTTTACACTTTAAATGTCAATTTAAGCTGAATTGTAGTGTCTTGAAAAATATCTAGTCTTATATTATTTGCTGTCATCATGACAAAGAGGAAATAAATGATTAGGTATTAAAACTATTGCCTTTATAATTATAAAAGTTTTTATAAAATATTGACATATAAAATAATTAAACTTGAGCAGGAGGGCTAATAATTCTGCCCTCATCTGTATGTGTATGAGTGTGAGGCTGAGCGGCTGAGGGTGTCGCTGCGCCTTTAAGAGCGTCGTCGCACATTGTGTCGGTACCGGTGTCCGCTGTTTCGTGTTGTGTTTTCATCCTCCTTCTGTACGGTCATGTCTGCTCATTCCGCCGAAGAACCGTTCCCGTTTCACGGGCTGCTCCCGAAAAAAGAGACCGGCGCTGCTTCGTTCCTCACTAAGTACCCGGAGTACGATGGCCGAGGGGTGCTCATCGCGATTCTCGACACCGGCGTGGACCCAGGGGCCCCGGGCATGCAGGTAAATCGAGCCCGCGGCTGCAGCTCATCAGCAGGCCGCAGCGGGTTTTGCTCCCGTTAACGGAATCACAGGCAGCGAACGTTATCGGAATTCAAGTGTCACACTTGAACCAGCGAAGCACTAACATATCTCTAGTAAACAAAGCTAAAAAAAAGCCCTCAAACACACAAAATGTATATCTGAAAGGACAAGCTGTGTCATCCTCATGAGTGACACTCACATTACTGAGAATACACTACAATAAAACAACAGCTTCTGTGCTACTACCGCGATTTGTTTGAGACGTACGACAAGGTAGATACCAAGATAGATTAATATAATAATCATTTATAATGTCAAACATTAAAAAAACTCCATTGTGTTATACATGACAATGGCTGTGTTTCAAACCCTATTGAGTTCCCTACACAGGCAGCTGTTCAGCAAAACAGTCTCTAGCTGTATGCTGTATAATCAGTGATGGTTTGCGTTTAACATGAGCTGACGGAAGATCCAGCAGCTGTTGTGCGCTTTTACTCAGCTGTCAGCACTTCTTTTACTGCACTACTAAGGGCTCTTGAAAATCATATGTAATGTTTATAATGTAAAATGTAAATTTATTTCCTTCCCACATCATTTCTAATGGAATGATGAAGTTGTTATTATGATGTAATGTTTTTGTTGATGTTTATCTTGCTGTGAACTAGCTATATGTTTCTGATGTGGAAATAAACAAGCTAAGGGCCCTTGTGGACAGAAGCTGATCTTCATTTCTGGATGATGAATGATCATGTGTGTGATGCTCATGTGAAACTCTTTGGATCCTGTGATGAGTTGGTCTCAGTTTTCATCATGTAAGCTGATATGAAGTGTGTGATGCTGAAGTGTAATATTAGGGCTGTTACAATACACTGGAAAATCTGATATTGCAATATTTAGTTTTTCCTAACTGAACAGAAATCAAGTTTCATGACTGATAGTGTTGAATAACTATCACAGTGCCACTGCGGTCTCCATGCTGACATGCTATAATGTGCAGCTCTACTGAAGTGTGTTGTTTCCTCTCGTTTAGATCACCACAGACGGAAAGCCGAAGATCGTGGACATCATCGACACCACGGGCAGCGGTGACGTGAACATGAGCACAGTGGTGGAGGTGAAGGAGGGCAGTGTGAGCGGTCTGACTGGACGCACGCTTAAAGTGAGAAAACGCACACACAACAGGCCATTATGTGCATTATATAGTTTTCTGAGTTTCAGATGGGGATAACAGTCAAAAAAGTGATTAAAAATTGATTATTAACACTCATGCACATTTACATTAACCATACTGAATCTTTGAAACATTGTGCATCCGGAAATAAATGTTTGTATTTAATTTTATTATTTGCACTATTATTTATTTATTTTATTATTTATGCATTATTTTCTTTACAAATTATATTTAAATATTATTATGATTATTATGATTATATTTTAATTTCTAATTTAATAATAATAATAATAATAACAACATTTATTAATATTATTATTATTATTATTATTATTATATTAAAATTTTTAATATTTGAAATCTGTCATCTACTTGTGCTTGCATAGCATGCTTTACTGTTGATGATTTATTTCTCTTCATGTCTGTTATTCACAATAATTGCTATGTTAGTTGTGTGGAAATCCAAACATTGCTGATACTTTAGCATAACGTGCTGTACAAAGTTTTAAAATAATGTTATTATATAAAAATGAATTTTATTTATTTATTTATTTATTATTAATATTTTTTTATGTAAGAGTTGGTGTGTCATGATGATAATGTGATAATGTAAATATATTAATTATTTTTGAGAGTAAATGTTTCCCGTTTCTCTTCAGATTCCTGCAGCGTGGGTCAATCCGTCTGGGAAATATCACATTGGAGTGAAAAACGGCTATGATTTCTTCCCTAAAGCTCTTAAAGAGAGAATACAGGTAATGCCAGACTGATGCCAGAGCACCTGTGTACGTGTGTGTGTGTGTGTGTGTGTGCGCGCATTTGTTGATTCTTGCATGATCTTTTCTTGTAAATGTGTGTGTGTGCATTTGTTTATTTTTACATGATCATTCCTTGTGTTTGTTTGTGCATGATTGTTCCTTGTTTGTGTGTGTGCATTTCTTGATTGTGTGTGCGTAATCATTTCTCGTGTGTTTGTGTTGTTGTTGTTTTTTTTACATGATCGTTCCTATTGTGTGTGTGTGTGTGTGTGTGTGTGTGTGTGTGTGCATTTGTGTCTGTGTGTGTGTGTGTTAGTTAATTGTGTGTGCATGATAGTTCCTCGTTTTTGTCTATGCGTGTGTGCATGATTGTTCCTCGTGTGTAAGTGTGTGTGCGTTTTTTGTGTGTGTGCGTTTCTTGATTGTGTGTGCATAATTGTTCCCTGTGTGTGTGCGTTTGTTGAATTTATTTATTTATTTTTTTTACATGATCATTCCTCGTGTGTGTTTGTGTGTTTGTGTGTGTGTGTGTGTGTGTGTGTGCACGCATGCACATGCATACTTGTTGACTTTTACTTGAGTGCATGCATTTGTTGATTGTTACACACACTTTTCTTTTGTGTGTGTGTGTGTGTGTGTGTGTGTGTGTGTGTGTGTGTCTGTTTTGGCGCTTCAGAAAGAGCGCAAGGAGAAGCTGTGGGATCCGACACACCGAGCAGCTCTCGCTGAGGCCAGCCGCAGGACAGAAGAGTTCGACCAAACACACACAAACCCCTCACAGGTGCACTTCTGATCATAATAATATCACACCTTCATATTGTGAGTTAATGTGCTTTATATAGTTATTTATATATATATAGTTATAGTGTTTTAGTAGGCAAATAAATGCGAGTTAATGAGCTATAATGTCATTATGGTGTGTGTGTGTGTGTGTGTTTTCAGATGGAGAAGCTCCAGAAGGAGGAGCTGCAGTGTCATGTGGAGCTGCTGGGAATGCTGGAGAAGAAATACAGTGATCCTGGACCCGTGTATGACTGTATATCATGGCACGACGGGGTCACGTGGAGGTCAGCACACTAATTCTTGCCGCAGGCGTGTGTGTTTTTGTTATCTCTTTGTGTGTGTGTGTGTGTGTGTGTGTGTGTGTGTGTGTGTGTGTGTGTGCGTGTGTGTGATGGCTCTGTGTGCAAGATTTGTTTTGTGTGTGTGATAACTGTGTGCACTAATGAGGATTGTGTGTGTGTGTGTTTTGATGACTGTGTGTGTTTGACTATATGTGCAATTGTGTTTGTCTCTGTGTGTGTGTGTGTGTGTGTGTGTGCGCACTTGTCTCTGTGTGTTTGATTACTATATGCACGTGTGGGTGTATGTTTGTCTGTGTGTATGTGAGTGAGAGTGTGTTATTGCATGTGTCTGTTGACTGTGTGTGTATTTTTGATGACTGTCTGTGTTTGTGTGTGTTTGATGACTCTCTCTCGCTGTGTGTGTGTGTGTGTGTGTCAGGGCTGTGGTGGACACGTCTGAGTGTGGAGATCTGTCGTCCTGCACTGTCCTCAGCTCCTACAGAGAGAGACAGGAGTTCTGCACGCTGGGATTCGCTGAGATGCTCAACTTCTCCGTCAACATCTATGATGAGGGAAACACACTCTGCATCGTCACCAGCGGAGGTGAAGACAATCACACTTGTGTTTTAGACCAAACTTTTCAGCCCGCAACCCCCAAACTAACAATACCAGAGACTCATGACCCCCACTACATGAGTGCTAAAGGTGTCCGAAAGTTTGATTATGGTGCTGTAACATCAATCTGCTGATGCTATTAGTTTGCAAGAAAAATAAATCAACAATGACCTGAACTGCATTTTAAACCTGAAAGTATTAATCTGTTAAATGTGTGCTGTGGGTTAACCTGAAACAGGAACTACAGATTGCTGTTGTCTAAAGCTTATCATCGGTATGACATTATTTGATTATGCGATTCAATATGATTTTCACTGATCTGCTTGTGTGTGTGCAGGGGCTCATGGGACACACGTGGCCAGCATCGCAGCAGGTCATTTCCCAGATGAACCCGAGCGTAACGGTGTGGCTCCTGGAGCTCAGATCCTGGCGCTGAAGATCGGAGACACTCGCCTGAGCACCATGGAGACGGGAACCGGCCTCATACGAGCGGTCAGAGAGACACACACACACATCAGCAGATCTTCACACTCAGAAACCAATGCAATGCAGCCCTAAATTCATTGCACACTGAGCCCAAAATGTTCACACATTAAAGAATAAATGCATTGTATGTAATGTAATATATTCTAATGTACGGAGACCCAGAAGGGACTTGATGGTTGATTTCTTAAGTTGTTGTGTTCCCTCGGAAAGATGTCTTGTGTTATCTCACAAAACTGTTGTTCCACAAACACTTCCTTTTCACTTCATACATGTCAATCCTCCTGTTTTTGCTGGGATTCACCCATTTTTTGCCATTCTATCCCACTATCATTAACCTCCTAGGGCCTGAGTGGCCACATATTTTAGCTCTTTAGTGGCTGTTTAAAATACTTTAAATGTTTTATATTTTGTTACAGACATACAGTGTCATCCTGCAACTGTTTTACAGCATTTGAAATGTCTCAAACACTATTTTAACTGTCCAAAATGGGGGGAAAAAAATGGTTTTTACTCTCTGATAGTCAAAGAAAGTAAAAAAAAAAATCTGCTAAATATGCATGAAAAAAATTCGGGAAAAAGTGTTTCACATATATGGACATCATTTTTCTCTAAAAGTAAACAGTGTCAAGAGATGATACTCATTCTAATTAGGTTCCAATAAGCCCAAATAGCAAAGAGAATTAAAAAATGCATGTAAAAACACCTTGGGCCTTAAGAGGTTTAGTATTTTCCCATATTTCTTTCATAATTTTAATCTTAAATACACGTTGAAATTAATATAAAGATGTCTGCATTCACTTTCTTTCCATTAAAGCTTCATATGCAACCTCTGAATCAGTGAATGCATGTATAAACGCTGATTTACTGACGCACTCTGTATGATAAACTGATCCCAGATCAGCTTCTGCACACACCATTTAAAGTGACACCTCTGTTGTCAAACAAGTGGAGAGCAGCAAATGAATCTCTCCTATTGTTTAGTTTGATAACAGAGATGACCCTTGAAAAACACACAGATCTAGAATGAAAGCACTCCATTACTTTAGTGACTGTTTGTACTCATTTAAGAGGAAATTAGCTGTGTTTAAAATAAAACACGCCGATCGGACATGTTTACATATCATTAAGTGTATTTGTCTGTTTAAACACACACCCGAATTCAAAAGTGTCCTGCACGTTAGCTCCTCTTTAAATGGCATGTACAGAAGCTGATCTGGGGTCAGTTTATCATATGGAGCGCGTCCGTCAGTCAGCGCTTACACATGCATTCACTAATTCAGGGGTTGCATATGAAGGCCGATAATTGACGCACAGCTTTAAAGAAAAAAAAGTAAATGCAGACATTTTCATATTAATTTCAACATGCTTTCAAGTTTAGAAATATGGGAGAAATATGGGAAAATACTTAATGATAGGATGATAGTGGGATAGAAGGGTAAAATCCTGTCAAAACCGGGAGGGTTGACATGTATGAAGTGAACAGGAAGTGTTTGTGGAACAACAGTTTTGCGAGATAACGAAAAACAATAATACATATATTCCTATCACTTTTTTTCTTCCACCAATTTTTTCCCCACCATCACTTCCCTTTCGGGTCTCCGTACTAATGTACTACTTTGTTTGTGATCATTTGCAAGCAATGAATTAGCTCAATTTTCACACATTACATTAAATAATGTATTTAATTTGTGATGTAATGTAATCTATTATAATGTAATATAATATTATGTCATATTTTTGTTCATTGCACACTGCGCCCGAAATGTTCACACATTAAAAAATGACAATAAATATGTTGTATTTAATGATAATTAAGATTTTTATTATTTTCCTCTGCAGATGATTGAAGTTATAAACTATAAGTGTGATCTTGTGAACTACAGTTACGGTGAAGCGACGCATTGGCCAAACTCAGGGTGAGTATGAGTAATAACTAGGCCCACACGAAATCTGTGCGTATATTTTTAGCTCATTGTTAATTTTGTTTATTTACTTGAGTAGATGTGTGTAAATCTATATTTATTCAGTTTTTTTTTAATTAATTACTGTAATATTATTCATTAATATGCAAATGTTCATCTGATTTATGTTCAATGCAGTTTGTACAGTATTATTTTCTGTATTTTAGTAGAGATATTATATGAGAGACTTGCTTTGTTTACCAAATCTCAATGGATTTGCATTGTAAACATTAAATAAAAGTTAAAAAGATGTTGTTATTTTTTTATTTCATATATTAAGGTTTTAGTTATGATACTCCCAAAATCAATCCGCAGAAATCTTTTTACCAAAATCCTCAGCAGAAATAGCAAAAAACCTCTGCAGATTCCGTCTGGCCCTAGTCATAAGTTAAGAAATCTCTGACAGAAAGCTGTGTGCATCACACAGGTGTGTGTGTGTGTGTGTCTGTGTTACACAGGAGAATCTGTGAGGTCATCACGGAGGCTGTACAGAAGTATAATGTTATGTTCGTGTCGAGTGCGGGGAATAACGGTCCATGTCTGACCACCGTGGGCTGTCCTGGAGGAACCACCAGCAGTGTGATCGGTACGCAAACAGTCGCTTAAATAAATTCTTTATTGGCTGTACTATGTCTATGTTCAGCAGGCCACCGCATGAACACATTAAACACCACTGATTCTGATTCATTTCAAGCATTGTCCATTCATTATCATTATTAATGTTTAAATATTACAAAATGCTTAAATGTGTTGGGGAATATATCTGTTAATAAATATTTTTTTACTTATTGTTAACCTTTCTAAATGATAAACTGAGTTGTTGGTAACCGATGGCAGCCTCTAATGATGAACATGAGTTAATTGTGTTTATTATAATCAAACTTGATGCAGAATCACTGTGATTGACATTCTCCCTTTGTACGTGTCATCAGAGGGGGAAAGCCCCGCCCACTAGTGCCCATCTCTCCATCTCATTAGCATGTCCAGCAGCCCTGAGTGAGAAGCAGCCGTCTGTCCATTCGCCATTAGAGTGTTTGAGCTGCTGAAGATGATGTCAGCATAGACTAAGAGGATTATAGATGTGTAGATTTAGATCAGGAGCCACATAGACTGACAGAAGCATGAACACACACTCACACTGAAGCACACCTGACCAGCACTCACAACACACACACTGCTGCTTTACATCTGTCTTTATGGTGATGCACTGCCATCTGTAGCTCCGCCCTCTTCTGTATAGACCACAATCTTATTTGCATTTAAAGCGACAGTCACTAAAACACCACAATTAGGATCAAAGCCTGAAAGAGTCAGTTTCAGAGAGCTGGAGCACATTATCTGTGTGCTGTTCTCAGCTCAAACACTCATGAGATAGACAGCAGAGACGCTTCGTACATCAGGCATAATGGGTCTTCTTTAAGTGTGTGGTTGCTGTGTGCAGGAGTGGGAGCGTATGTTACTCCAGATATGATGGTGGCCGAGTATTCTCTGAGAGAGAAGCTTCCTCCTAACCAGTACACCTGGTCATCCCGTGGGCCCTGCACAGACGGCGCTCTGGGCGTCAGTATTAGTGCTCCGGGCGGCGCCATCGCCTCCGTGCCCAACTGGACGCTGCGCGGCACTCAGCTGATGAACGGCACGTCCATGTCCTCCCCGAACGCCTGCGGAGGAATCGCCCTCGTGCTGTCAGGTGGGTGAAGCTGCATCTTTAGCTCACAGCATCATCATTTACTCTGTGCTTTAACTTCAGTGGACTACATTATGCTGTCATGCTGGTGTTGATGATGTGTGTGTGCACTTCAGGTCTGAAGCAGAACGGTCTGCGGCCCACGGTGCCGGCGGTGCGCAGAGCTCTGGAGAACACAGCTCAGAAGGTGGAGGAGATCGAGGTGTTTGCGCAGGGACACGGAATCATACAGGTATGAGGATGAGGAGGATGATGATGATGATGATGATGAAGAAGAAGATATTGCTAATGGGGATGATACTGGAGTTATTGATGATTATTGATGATTATTATTGGTGATGATGATGATGATGAAAAAGATTTTGCTGATGGTGATACTGGAGTTGATGATGATGATGATGTTGAAGATATTGCTGATGGGTGATGCTGGAGTTATTGATAATGAAGATGATGATGAAGATATTGCTGATGGTGATACTGAAGTTATAGATAATGATGATGATGGTGCTGATGATGAAGATTTTGCTGATGGTGATACTGGAGTTATAGATGATGATGATGATGATGATGAAGATTTTGCTGATAGCGATACTGAAGTTATAGATAATGATGATGATGGTGCTGATGATGAAGATTTTGCTGATGGTGATGCTAGAGATGATGATGAAGAAGATTTTGCTGATGGTGATACTGGAGTTATTATTGATTATTGATGATGATGATGATGATGATGATGAAGATTTTGCTGATAGCGATACGGAAGTTATAGATGATGATGATGATTATTGGTGATGATGAAGATATTGCTGATGGTGATGCTAGAGTTGATGCTGCTGATGATGATGATGATGATGATGCTGACAGTGGTAATGACAATGATTATTGATGAAGATGCTGATGATGAAGATATTGCTGATGGTGATGCTAGAGTTGATGCTGCTGATGATGATGATGATGATGCTGACGATGATTATTGATGATGCTGATGATGAAGATATTGCTGATGATGATGATAAAGATAGTGATGAAGTTATTGATGATGAAGATGATACTGGGGTTATTAATGATGATGATTAAGTTATTTATGATGACGGTGATGAAGAAAATGATGAAGAAGATGATGTTGAATAAGGAAATGGAATTATTGATGGCGGTGGAGTTATACATCATAATGGAAAGGTATTGATGATGATGATGAAGATGTTGGAGTTATGAATGATGATGATGATGATGATGATATGTGCATGCAGGTGGAGAGGGCGTTCGACTACCTCATGCAGCACAATTCTCTGGCCTCCAGCAGTCTGGGCTTCAGCGTCAGTGCAGGATCTCAGAGAGGAATCTACCTCAGAGACGCCACACACGTCACTGCACCATCTGACCACGGCGTCGGCATCGAGCCGATCTTTCCAGAGAACACCGGTACTGACAACACACACACATCAGCAGCAGATCATCAGACCTGCTGCGTATTAATACAGATTAATAGCAGATTGTCAACACTCCTGCATTACTTTCATTCTGTTTCAGATGTTTGCACAGTTTTTCTTCTGTAGAAAGTTTTGTTTCTCTTAGTTTGACTGGAATACAAATAAATTACAAGCATGTAAATATTATTAGCCCCCTTACGAATAAATGTTTTTGATTGGCTACAGAGCAAACCACTTATGTCCAGTGTTTTGCCTAATTAACCTAGTGAAGTCTTTAATTGGCACTTTAAGCTAAATACTAGTGTCTTGAAAAATAACTACCAAAATATCATGGCAAAGATAAAAGAAATGAGTTAAAACTATTATGCTTCAAGAGTTTTGGAGAAAAATCTCCTTCAGACAGCACTTAAGAAATATTTTACAGAAATGGCCACATCTCAGGAGGGAGAATATTGCAGATGTGTTGTGATGCATTATGGGACGTCTTCTCTCCTCAGAGAACGCAGCTCGTATCTCTCTGCAGCTTCACCTGGCGCTGGTCTGTAATGCGTCCTGGGTTCAGTGTCCGTCCCATCTGGAGCTCATGAATCAGTGCAGGCATGTGAATGTGCGCATCGACCCACAGGGCCTTCGAGAGGGACTGCACTACACCGAGGTACTTCACTGCACTGCATTACAATACACAGCACTACATTAAACTGTTACACTGCATTACATTGCATTGCATTACACCGCACTGGATGACATTACAATGCAATACACAACACTGCATTTCATTACACTGCACTGCATTTCATTACACTGATTACACTACACTGCATTACACTACACTGCATTATACCAGACTGATTACACTGCTTTACACTACACTGCATTACACTGTATTACATTGCATTATACTGCACAGCACTGCATTAAACTAATTACACTGCAATACACCACTGCATTTCACTACACAGCACTGCATTACAATACACTGCATTACACCACACTGCACTGCATTACACTATATTACACTACAGTGCATTCCACTACAGCACATTGTACCGCATGAAACTACGCTACATTAAACTACACTGCACTACACTACGCTCTGTTACACTACATTACATTACTCTGCATTACACTACAATGCACTACAGAACACTGCACTGCATCTTCATCGCTCCATAATACACTGCAGTGTCCGTGTAATGATGTGTGTTTATTTTCTGTGTTTTCAGGTGTGTGGATACGACACAACTGCTCTCAGCGCCGGCCCGCTCTTCAGAGTGCCCATAACCGTTATAATCCCTACCAAGTATGCTCTCCGTTCTCGTTAGCCCCAGTTGGGGCATTCTGTTAACCTTCACATTTCACAGATTGAAATTACAAATAGGTTTTATGTTGTTGTTGTTGTTGTTGTTGTTGTGCTGACCAAAGCACAAGACTATCAAGAAGCCTGCTCAAATTAGTGCAAAACCCACTTAAATAACATGCTGACAGGACATTTTTATGTAGTATAAATGTGTTATTTTGTTGGTTTATGATTTTTAAAAATATGTATAATTAAAGCATTGTGATTTTTTTTTTTTTTTTTTTTTTTTTTTATTTTATTTTAAAAAGTCTTTAAAATCACTTTTTATTATTTAATAAAATCATATTTTACATTTTACAGTCAAGCACATCTAGATTTTCAATTTCATTTTTGGCCCAGAAATTTATTGTTAAAAAGCAAAAAGTAAAAGTGTAAGTTTTGCAAAAGCTCCTGTATATCAAAGTTTTTTTTTAAATAAAGATGATTAAAACATTTTACACTACAGTGGCTTATTAAAAATATTAAAATGACAATAAAAAATTTGAAGCATTTTTTAAAATAACTTTAATAAAGACACAGTGACATTAGGAAACCTGAGAAAAATATTACTTCTGGATAGGGATTGGATTTTCTGTAGCTGTGTTTAACAGTGAATTTAATCGCAACACAACGTTTAATGTAAAGGCTGTCATTCTGGTTTGTAATTTACGGTTTGTGTTGAAATCTGCCGCGTGTTTGTGTCCCCCAGAGTATCTGACAGTCGCAGTCAGGAGCTCTCCTTCACTGATGTTCACTTCCGGCCAGGACAGATCCGTCGCCACTTCATCACCGTCCCTCAAGGAGCATCATGGGCAGGTAATCAGAGCGCCATCTCATCATGCATCTCTTAGTGCATGTGAATTTCATCTAAAGGAGTTTTCAGTGTTTGTTTCCCACATTAAAAAAATACAACAGTATGTTATAGTAAATACTATAATGCTTGTCTTTAAACCAAATAAAATCATAATAGAATATTTTTTGTCATTTTGTTGTGAAAGTATGCATATGCCAAATTATTGTATTTTTTTTTTTATGTTTTAACATGCAAACAATGCATGTATTTTTCTGCTATGTTTTCCTATGCAGATTGACTAGTCATTATTGAATGAGTCCTTATTAAAGCCACCGAGTCAAACGTACAGCTTTTTTTTATAGTGCAGAAAAACACATCTATAAATAGTGCATTGCTCATGCAGCATTAACCCCAGGAAAGTTCTATGGTGTAGTTATTAGGTGTGTGTGTGTCTTTCAGAGATCTCTCTGACGTCTCACACTGGCGACGTGTCCTCGAAGTTCGTCCTGCATGCGGTTCATCTGGTGAAGCAGCGAGCGTATCGAGCCAACGAGTTCTACAAGTTCTCCTCTCTGCTGGAGAAAGGCTCGCTCACAGAGGCCTTTCCAGTGCTGGTACACTGATTTACACTTGTGTGCAACAGCTTTTTGAGCATTTGAAACACCACGATGGCGACACCTGCTGGTCAAAACTGCATAAATGCCACAAAACATGCATTAGAATTGACTTTTTTAAAATCATATTGCAAACATTAAATTGAAGGTATAATCTATAAACACTTAGCTTGTCATCTAGTATCATTTAAATATTATACATTTTCATTTTACAAACCTCTCATTACCTAAGATCAGGTGTATGTGTGTGTGTGTGTATATATATATATATATATATATATATATATATATATATATATATATATATATATATATATATATATATATTTGTTGTGTGTTTGTTTTTCAGCCAGGTCGGACTCTGGAGCTGTGTATTGCGCGCTGGTGGGCGAGTCTCGGTGATGTCACCATCGATTATGTCATTTCCTTCCACGGCCTGGTGACGTCGCCCTCTCCTATTCACATCGTAAGTGACGCCGGGTTTTATACTGCTTACTTATAATGTTATCAAGATTTGAACATTAACAAGAAATCATTTAAACATGCAAACATAACTATTAAAGAAAAAAACATACACATTTCGCTAGGTCATGTTTTTTGGTTGTTTTTGAGGTTTAAACTTGAGTTCATTAAGAGCTTTTGTTTTGTTTCTGTCTTTTAGCACGCTTCTGAAGGCATTTCTAGTTTTGAGGTTTGCTCTCCGTTGAGATATGAAGATGTTTCTCCAACAATCACACTGAAGAACTGGGTTCAGCCGCTCCGGTAAACACACAACACCAATGCACCAACATATATTGGCAATATTCACTGAGAAATGCAGAAAAACATCCATTTCTGCTGAGCCATTGACCTCCATAGTATGTTTTGTTCCTACTGTGGATGTCAATGGCTGAACGTTCTTCAGAATATCTTGTTTTGTAGAGTGCGAGTAAACCTGGGTGTACTGTCCCTTTAAATGCATTCAGAAAAATGTCTTGCGAATACCTTTAGAGCATCTTAGAGTGCAGATCTAGTATGCATACTCATGTATGCTGTCAGAAAGATGCCCATAGATATAATTTAAGTGAGTTAAGAGGTGCTTCATGGCTCTTAGATCATAAGATCTAAGTTTCCTCTGGGAGTAGATGTGTTTAAATACTTAATATATCATCATGAATAATGCAGATGGATCTCTCTGCTGTGTTCTTCTCCTCCACAGGCCTGTAAGTTCTAAAATCAAACCGCTGGGCATGAGAGACGTGTTGCCCAATAACAGGCAGCTCTATGAGCTCGTCCTCACCTATAATTTCCACCAGGTCAGTTTTCACACCTTCACGGATCAGACTACCTCCTTTGCTCCTAAAACCAACTATTTGTTTATATGTTTGATTACAAATGGCAAAGACAATGTAGTCTACGAACATGTAACAGACTCTGTGAAATACAATAGTATCTGGATGCAGAATTTTTAATGCAAGCTGAGATTGCATCACTCAGGGGTGTGGTTGGGTGAGCACATTAAAAAGCATTGGCTGCAGCTCAGATTGCATCTGCACCAGGTCTGCAGCCAGACCCCTCATGAAATCAGCCCTAATGTTGGCAAAAAAACAACTATTATTATTATTTTTATATAAATTCTCCATCAGATGAGACCAGATTGTTTTTTATCTGCTGTAGAATCAGTCATTCCAGGATGAATCTTAAGTTTTTAATACTTAGGCTGTCTCCATATTCACCCCTATACCCTAAATAGTGCACTATTTGAGGGAGCAATGATTTCTAGTGGTGTCCAAAACCATAGTGAACGTTGTGATGTGCACTCAATCAGTGCCACAATGCACAGCAACACACCGACAGCGAGAGAATTCCCATAATGCACTGTAAGAGTTTGCACTCTGAATGAATTTTTGCGTCTGACCACTAGATGGTGTCTAAAGAACAATCTAATCGGTGTATAGTTTAAAAATAAAATATTATTGAATTAAAAATGTGTTTGTGTACAACATGACATATTAAAACAGATAATATAATGATTTAATTTAAATGAAAACTATAATCCTGAGTCTGCATGATGTTTGGTTGTGTTTTTCAGCCGAAGAGCGGCGAGGTGACACCCAGCTGTCCACTGCTCTGTGAGTTATTATACGAGTCTGAGTTCGACAGTCAACTCTGGCTCCTGTTTGACCAGAACAAGAGGCTCATGGGATCTGGAGATGCGTACCCACACCAGGTGACCAAAACAATGCATAGGAGACAACAGAATACAATACAATACAACACAATCCAATAGCATTGAATGCTATGGAGTAAACTACTCTATAATGTAGTAGAATGCTATAGAATGGAATGCTCTGTCAGGTTTTAAGTTAGATTTACTTCCTTACAGAATCGCAGTCTTCCTTAGTCTAAATGACTAAATTATTTCCAATTAATGCTATGTAAGGCTTGTGAAATGTCATAACAAATCAAAATATCGACATGTCAGATTTCTCTAGTGCAGCTCTACTGAATGAGGTGTTTTTGAGCTGATGTGTGTGTGTGTGTGTGTGTTTCAGTACTCTCTGAAGCTGGAGAAAGGCGACTACACTGTGCGTCTGCAGGTGCGTCACGAGCAGCAGAGTGAGCTGGAGCGTCTGAAGGATCTGCCGTTCGTGGTGTCTCACCGTCTGTCCAACACTCTCTCGCTGGACGTCTACGAGACGCATCGCGCCGCCCTGCTGGCCAAGAAGAAGGCCAACTCCATCACACTGAGCCCCGGGGCCTCACAGCCGTTCTACATCACCAGTCTGCCCGACGACAAGTGAGTATCCAGCCCATCAGTCTGCATCATTATTCCAGTATTCAGAGTCACATTGCACATTAGAAAGAAAATACTACGTTTATAGTAAATACTGTAGAGTGTTTGACGCCTACTTGAATTAGTCTGTTGTGGTGATTCTACAGTTATTATAGTAATGAAACTACTATAGTAATTAGTCTGTTCTGCTGATTGTACAGTTACTTTGGTAACACAACAACTCTAGTAATTAATCTGTTGTGGTGATTCTACAGTTGCTATGGTAACACAACAACAATGGTAATTGATCTGTTTTGGTGATTCTACAGTTGCTATAGTAACTGTAGTAATTAATGTGTTGGGGTGGTTCTACAGTTGGTATAGTAACACAACAACTATAGTAATTGATCTGTTGTGGTGATTCTACAGTTACTATGGTTACTAGTAATTAATGTGTTGGGGTGATTCTACAGTTGCTATGGTAACACAACAACTATAGTAATTTATCAGTTTTGGTGATTCTAGAGTTGCTATGATAACAACTAAAGTAATTATTAAGCTGTGGTGATTTTACACTTGCTATGGTAACACAACTGTTGTAATTAATCTGTTGTGGTGATTCTACAGTTGCTATGGTGACAAATATAGTAAATAATATGCTGTGGTGATTCTACAGTTGCTATGGTAACACAACTATTGTAATTAATCTGTTTTGTAATTCTACAGTTGCTATGGTGACACAGCAACTATAATAATTGATCTGTTGTGGTTGTTCTATGGTTGCTATGGTAACAACTACAGTAATATAAACAAAAAGCAGTACTGCAGTTTTCTACAAATATAGAGCATACCATACTACAATACAGCACAGTTTACTGTGCTAAAAATGAAATGTACTACAGTTTTTATTACAGTTCATCAGTTTGCCATAGTTAATACTACAGTAGAAAATAATGTGGTGTAAATATTATTATTATTATATATACAGCTAATACATTTCCTACACATTTACGTTACTGTAATATACTGTAGTTCAAAAACACTGTTTACTACAACTTACAGTACTTTTTTATGAGTCATGATTCTTCAGAAATTATTCTAATTGCAAACTACTTGAATCTAAAAAATAAATTATCAACTTTTTTTTTTATTTTTTATTTTTAGATATTTTTTTGAAAAAACTGAAATTTGTCATTTTAAAATAAGTCTTCATAGTTTAATAGTTTGTTTCAGGGGGCTGAAATGCCATAAAGGCAGTCTATAATTTACCTAAAGAGGGTTTATATTCACCCTGCGACAGTCGATGCAGACGCTTGTCTCTGTGTTTCAGGATCCCTAAAGGCTCCGGTCCAGGCGGGTTCATCTCCGGCTCTCTGGTTCTGCCCAAGAGTGAGTTCGGCAAAAAAGCAGTGAGTCCCAGTCTCTCAAACACTGTAGATCCAGCTGATCTGTAGCCCTGCATGCTCCCGCTGCGCTCCCATCAGCCGCCTCTGCTTCTAGAGGGGTCTTCAGCTCACACCTAGGGGCTTTATTTATTGTAGAATTTTGTTAATTTTTTATTTTATTTTTTTACTTTTATATTATTTTATTTTATTTCATTTTTAGATTATTTTCATTCATTCATTTAGTTTCTTTCAGCTTAGTCCCTTTATTAATCAGGGGTCACAACAGTGAAGTGAACATATGATTCCAGCATATGTTTTACACAGCAGATGTCCTTCCATCTGCAACCCAGTACTGGGAAACACCCATACACTCATTCTCACACACACTCATACACTACGGCCAATTCACTTAATCAATTCCCCTATAGTGCATGTGTTTGGACTGTAAGGGAAACCGGAGCACCCGAAAGGAAACCCACGGCAACACGGGGAGAACATGCAAACTCCACACAGAAAGGCTTGTATTTTTTATGTTATTTTATTTTAATTAATTTATATTTTTATTTATTTTTTGGTTTTATATTTTGTTTATTTGAATTTTTTATTTAGTTTATTATATTATTTTTTATTTTATTTAGTGTGTATGTATGTATGTATGTATGTATGTATGTATGTATGTATATATTTATTTATTTTAAATAATATTTTATTTTGATTTATCTAATTTTGATACTTTTTTTTTTTTATTGACAACCAGGGATTAATCTGATCATTGTTTTGGGGATATCTGAATAACAAGGAGTTATTTCTTCAAATTCTGTGTTTTTCGTTTTTTCACAGCATTGACTGAAATTAGATTTGACACCCTATAGAATAATTGTTTTATATATGCATGCCTTTTTATATCAAACTTTGGAACTTAATAAATTAATTAATTAGAAGAATGTGGAGATTACAGCTAATCTGTCAAAATTGTCCCCACATAAGTAGCAACAGAAGCTGCATTACAATTGCATAATGCTGAAATGAATGCTCACACTTCAGTGTTCAAAATATTATAATTAATGTAAATACCTTAAATATTAAAACGCTGAAACCACCAATAGGTGGCAGTGAGTCAGTTAAAAAGTGAGCCACTGAATTATTCATAATCTGACTTGCTTTCACACTATTTCTGATGGCAGAACTGCTGTGCTGTGAACATTATTTAATTGACTTTTTGCAGAATCACTTTTACACTTGTGTTGATGTTCAGGAGAATTGGCACATTCTCTTGTGACACTGGCACTGCTTCACCATATCATACCAACTCATGCTCACCCCATATTGAATTCAGCGCGCCCTGCTTCTGTTCTTTTTTAGAGTGAGTCACTGTAATGTCAGCTCTATGTCTGCTTCAGCAGTTATAATTATGCCTGTTGCACATTTCTGTTCACCTTTATGATCTGATCAGTTTTGGGTCTGTTGTCTGTGATCTGCTGCTGCTGGTGCTGCTGGTGCTTCACTCTGGATCATTTGAGTCTAGATATTGTTACGAGTGCAGTAACAAGACACAGCACTGATATAAGAGCATGCTCCACTCTCACTCTGTTCCACTGATATGGTGCTGGTGGCCAAACTCTGAAGAGATCTGATTCTGGAGCCTGTAAGCCTGAGTTCAGCTTAGATGATGTAGTGCTTGGAGATGTGCATTATTATATCTGCATCACTGCTTCTGTCTGCACTGAATGTACATAATGCTGGTGTGTAAATGCACAAATATATGACTGTAAAAGCTGTGCTGAAAATGCTTGCATGCATCACTTAACCCTGTGTAAGGCAATACACACACACACACACACACATGCACCGGTGTATAAGGGCAGCACAGATCATCTATCTGAACTCCAGCACAGTGTCTGTGGTGAAGGGCTTTTGTTTGTCTGTCAGAATGATTGTCTGTCTGACCGGCTGCCTGTGTGTCCAACTATCTAAGACTGTCACTGTCTTTGTCCGACTGTCTCTTACTGTTCGTCCTACTGTCTCTTTCTGACTGTACTTCTAACAGTATCATCCGATTGCATCTCTCTGACGGTCCATGCAACTGTATCCATCTGACTGTATCCGTCCGACTGTCCATCCAACTGTATTTGTCCGACTGTATATCTGATGGTCCGTCTGACTGTATCCATCCCACTGTATCCGTCCGACTGTCCACCCAACTGTATTTGTCTGACTATCCGACTGTATGTCTTATAGTCTCTGTCCGACTGTCTGACTGTATATCTGACCGTCCTCTTGATTGTATCCGTCCCACTGTATCTGTCCGACTGTCCACCGAACAATATTTGTCTGACTGTTAGTCTGACTGTATCTATCCAACTGTATATCTGACGGTCCATCCAACTGTATTTGTCCGACTGTAAGTCTGACTTTGTCTGACTGTCTCTGTCCAACTGTATCTCTCTGACGGGCTGTCCGACTGTATCCGTTTGATTGTCTCTGTCTGACTGTCCATCCAACTGTATTTGTCTGACTGTGTGTGTGTGTGTGTGTGTGTGTGTGTGTGTATATGTGTGTGTGTATATATATGTGTATATATATGTTTATATATATATATATATATATATATATATATATATATATATATATATATATATATATATATATATAATATCTGACTGTATGTCTAACAGTCTCTATCCGACTGTCTGTCCGACTGTATCTCTCTGACGGTCCATCCAACTGTATCCATCCGACTGTATCCGTCCAATGGTCTCTGTCGGTTTGTCCATCCAACTTTATTTGGCCTACTGTTAGTCTGACTGTATCTATTCGACTGTATGTCTGACTGTATCCGTTTAACTGTCTGTCTGACTGTATTTCTCTGACGGTCTGTCCGACTGTAATCCCTCTGACTGTATCTGTCCCACTGTATCCGTCTGTCTAACTCTCTCTCTGTCTGATTGTCTCTGTCCGACTGTTGGTCTGACTGGATCTCTCTGATGGTCTGTCTGACTGTCTCTGTTTGACCGTCTGTACGACTGTCACAGTCTGCCCCACTCTATCGGTCCGTCTGACTTTCTGTCTGACTGACTGTGTCCAAATATTTGTCTGACTTTTTTTTTTGTCTGATCGACTGACAGTCTGTTTTTTTCTGACTGTCATCCTACCTGTCTGTCCATCTGACTCTCCATCTGAGTGTTTATTTCCCCCCCCCCCCCCTCTCTCTCTCTCTCTCTCTCTCTCTCTCTCTCTCTCTCTTTCTGATTGACTGACTGATTGTTTGTCTGGCTGTCTTACTGTCTGCTGAGGTCTGGTGTCTGTCTGTGATTCTGCTGCACTTACAATCAGTCATGATGATGTCAAGGAGTAGAGAGCAGAGGTAGAGAGGACAGTGTGTGTGTGTGTGTGTGTGTGTGTGTGTGTGTGTGTATGTATGTGTGTATGTGTGTGTGTGTGTGTGTGATTCTCTCTCTGATGTGTGTTATTCTGACCAGCAGGGACAAGCTTCAGCCAAACGACAAGGAAAATTTAAAAAGGTACTGGACGGGTAGAGATACAGAAAAACAAAACTTCTGCCTTTTAATTTCATATTTATACAGTAATGTACCAGTTAATTAATCTATTTATGATCCATAATACAAGCTCAAACTTCACAGTAATGTTCTGTATCACAGTAACTTGATTATTTTTGCTGGAATCTGATTAAAAATGCAGTGCAATAACTGATTAATTATTTTTCTATTAATTTTCATGTTTTATTTGTGACCTTTTGGGCTTAATAATCATTTCAAAATGCAAACCAGTGGTCCAACACCAACAGAAAACCTATCTATATTTAAAATGATTTTGTAAAGTATGATTTATGATGTGTATGAAATTAAATTTACTGAAAAAACATTAAGCACATGCATTATATTGAACGTTAATATCGTTAAAATGAATATTTCTGACGTAATTGTATAGTTTTATTTCATTTATTATTCTTTATACAACACTTGCATTTATGAATATTTATTTAACTGAAAATATATAATATCTACATCATATTTGCCAACACACACATACACACACACATGCACACGTGCGCACAGAGAGAGAGACATCATTTTCATGTCCGTCATTAGCTTGCGTCTGTTTGACAAATTCAGACCTCATATGATTGGAATTGAGTCTGTATTTCTGATGATCATGTTAGTCATCTGCTTTAAGCCACATGAGCAGATGGACTGATGGATTGTGGGTAATGTTGTTCTTCTGTGTTGTTCTGATGCAGGATATCGTGCCAATCTTTTACCACCTGGTTCCTGCTCCCAACAAAAGCAAGAACGGGAAGGAGAAGGAGAAGGACCCGGAGAAGGAGAAGGACGTGAAGGAGGAGTTCAGTGAGGCGCTGCGGGACCTGAAGATCCAGTGGATGAGCAAGTGAGGCTTCACACTGTGTGTGTGTGTTCGCGTGTGTTTGTGTGTGTGTGTGTGTGTGTGTGTGTGTGTGTGTGTGTGTTTGTTTGTGTTTGTTCGTTTGTGTGTGTGTGTTTGTGTGTGTGTGTTCGTTCGTGTGTGTTCGTTCGTGTGTGTTCGTTCGTGTGTGTTCGTTCGTGTGTGTTCGTTCGTGTGTGTTCGTTCGTGTGTGTTCGTTCGTGTGTGTTCGTTCGTGTGTGTTCGTTCGTGTGTGTTCGTTCGTGTGTGTTCGTTTGTGTGTGTTCGTTTGTGTGTGTTTGTTTGTGTGTGTGTTCGTGTGTGTGTGTGTTCGTGTGTTCGTGTGTGTGTGTGTGTGTGTGTGTGTGTGCGCATGCGTATGCGTGCGTGTGCGTCTTTGTCTCTCTGTGTGTGTCTTTGTGTGCTTGTGTGTGTCTGTGTGTGTCTGTGTCTGTGTGTGTGTGTGTGTTTGAGGATTTATTGAGTGTGTTTGCTCAGACTGGACAACAGTTCACTGTATGAGGAGCTGAAGGAGGCGTTTCCTACACACCTGCCACTGCATGTGCAGAGACTCCATCAGCTCGACTCTGAGAAGGTACAACACACGCACACACACACACGCACACACACTCTTCTTATTTCTTTTACAGATATATATATATATATACGCACAGACACTCATATGATCATACTCTTATGATTACAAACACACACAAAACACACAGACACTCTCATACATACACACACACACACACACACACACACACACACACTCGTGCATACAAAGGCACACACATACATACACACAGACTCATATACACAAACACAAATGCACCCACACCCATACATGTGTACACACACACACACACACACACGGACAATCTAACATACATAATCGCTGTCATACATACACACATTCATACATGCGCACACATACACAGAGACAATTCCTCATACACTTACACACACACTCACTGAGTGCATGCGTCTGCTCGTCCAGGAGCGTCTGAAGCGTCTGCCGGAGATTGTATCCGCTGCAGAGTCAGTGATGTCACACATCGATCAGACGGCGCTGGCAGTGTACCTCACCATGAAGACGGACCCACGGCCCGACGCCGCCTCCATCAAGAGGTACACACACACATCATCATTCATCTGTGTGTGTGTGAACACAATTATTAATCCTTTTATTTATCATCACACACTGACACTGAAGCACACATTTGACCTAGTGCTATTTTACATCTGTCACACAGCCGTCTGTAGCTCCGCCCTCTTCTGAAAAGAGCACAATCTAATTTGCATTTAAAGCGACAGTCACTAAAACACCACAATTAGGATCAAGGCCTGAAAGGGTCAATTTCAGAGAGCTGGAGAACATTATCTGTGTGCTGTTCTCAGCTCACACTCAAACACACACACGCACACACACACACTATACAGAGCATAATAGGTGTCCTTTAATACGTGTGTGTGTGTGTGTGTGTGTGTGTGTGTGTGTGTGTGTGTGTGTGTGTGTGTGTGTGTGTGTGTGTGTGTGTGTGTGTGTGTTTGTGTGTGTGTGTGTGTGTGTGTGTTTGTGTGTGTTTGTGTGTGTTTGTGTGTGTTTGTGTGTGTGTGTGTGTGTGTGTGTGTGCGCAGTGATATGGAGAAGCAGAAGGCGTCTCTGCTGGATGCGCTCTGCAGGAAGGGCTGTGCTCTGGCGGATCAGCTGATGCAGACGCCGCTGCAGGACGGGGCCAGTGCCGGACAGGTGAGCAGCTCGGAGGAGGAGTCAGTGGGCGTGGCCAAAGCTCTGACGGACACCTTCTGGGAGCTGCAGAAGTGGGCGGAGCTTACAGACTCTAAGGTACAGCACTGGCAGATATTCACTAGTGCTAATGCAAGTCAGTGTGTGTCCTGATTATCATGATACAGCACCATTGTATAGTGTATAGATATATTTATCACATGTAGAAGACTGTTATTTTACATTTTAAAGTATAAACTCATTCATATCTGATCATAATTCTCACTTTATTTACATTGTCAGGGCAGATATTTGTCTACGCATACACACTCATACACACACACTCATACACACTCTACGCAGCCCGACTGTACATCCTATTGTTGATTTGTGCAGGTTTTGTCGTTCTCCTATAAGCATGCGCTGGCCAATAAGATGTACGCCAGAGCCTTGAAATACGCAATAAAGATTGTAGAGGACAAACCCAGCAGAGAGAACTCCAAGAACTGCTTACAGGTGAGAGAAACACACGTGGAGGAAGGTGTGTGTGTGTGTGTGTGTGTGTGTGTGTGTGTGTGTGTGTGTGTGTGTGTGTGTATATGTATATAATGAAGATGTATGTGTATATATAATAACTGTGTGTGTGTGTGTGTGTGTGTGTGTGTGTGTGTGTGTGTGTGTGTGTGTGTGTGTGTGTGTGTGTGTGTGTGTGTTCTCCGTCTGCAGCTGATGCGTTCTCTGGGCTGGACACACTGCGTCTCGTTCACTGAGAGCTGGCTGCCGATCCTCTTCCCGGCAGACTTCACACCCTTCTAATCATCACACACAAACACACACACTCCTGTTTTTAACCAAGAGGAGACTTTTAATGCCTTCTGGATCATCACAATCCAAACCTCATATCACACACACACACACACACATACACACATACACACATCCCTCACGGACCCCATGATGCCTTCAGTGTGTGTGTGTGTGTGTCTGGCTGACTCTTCATCAGGACGTGTGTTAAACACATGCAGTCTGTGGACTGACACATGATTATGAACTATTTTTCATAACAACAGTACAAGCGTAAATATATACGGCAATATGATGGACATCGAGTGTGTGTGTGTGTGTGTGTGTGTGTGTGTGTGCGTGCGCTCACATTTCATTCATTATTATTATTATTTTTTAGGTTTATTTTTATTTTTATTTTTATTTTTTTTGGTGAAATCCCCCTCCTAAAAAAAATTATATTTGGACTTAAATTATTTTGTTTAATTTAAATTATTACCTCTTTAGGTAACTGTCATTATATTTAAATTTTTCCCCCTTTTGATTTTTTTTTTATGTGAATTTTATTATTTTCATTATTTTATTTTTTCCTCATTTTTTTGTGAATTTATTTTCTATTTTTTATTTTTTCTAGGCCCTTGTGTGTGTCAAATGTATGCATGTTTCCTAAACACACGGGTCTCTTCATGTGCCGTTCTCTCATCCGTCTGCAAGTTTTTCTCTCTCTGAGCCTCGACTCATTTCCTTTTGGTCTGTGTAAAACCGAGACATTTTTCTTAGCGTGTTTGTGTGTGTTTGTGTGTGTTTGTGTGTGTTTGTGTGTGTGTGTGTGTGTGTGTGTGTGTGTGTGTGTGTGTGTGTGTGTGTGTGTGTGTGTGTGTGTGTGTGTGTGTGTGTGTGAGCCTTCATTCAGGGTTCAGACACAGTAAACACAGAAGACTCGACGCCAGCATTCATGCTCACATTTTCAGCAGCTCCTCCAGATTCACTTTCTTCTTCTGCATTCAAGCACATCTCCTCTGTGGGTCGCCACTTTTTTCTATTGTGTGTGTGTGTGTGTGTGTGTGTGTGTGTGTTTGTTGATGTTCAGGGTGATGCGAATGGCAGGATCTTTAAAATGGCCTTAAAAATTCACAATCATTAAAGGGACAGTTCACCCAAAACCGATATAAGAGATTGTTTCAGTTTCTTTTGTTCTTCTTGCAATAGCAGAACATTCTTCAAAATATCTTATTTTGTGTTTGCCAGAAGAAAGAAATGCATAAATGTTTACCACCACTTAATTCGGACATGTTTGTATGTTTTGGCGTGTACTGTCTCTTTAAATCCCGTCCGTTTCTGCACTCTTCAGGAAATCTCATATCAGTCTGTATTAAGAAACCCTTGAATATCCTCAGATATATTTATGGATGTCTTGTATTTATAAAGTACAGATGAAATCTAGTTAATGCCAATATTTTAAAGTCCTTTTAATTCATGCATAGAGTAGTTAGGTGTTCTTTTATATCCATTGCTATTGGTGGAATGTTTCAGAAATGACAGACGGTTATTTTGTTAAATGTGCTGATGATGATGATGATGATGATGATGTATTTGAGGAAGATATGGAATAAAATGACCTGGAACTGACTTAATATTTGTATTTAATCACACTCAGGCTTTATTCAGGAGTTTTTATTGACTTTAATGTATTGTTTTTATTGTTTACATGTATAGTTTTCAGTGATATGCTCAGTTGTTTTTGTGTGTAGCACAATAATTCATCTTTTTATTACAAAATGCATTTCATATTAACTTTTAATTTTTTTAAGCGCAGCGTCCTCCATCAAGACACGGTAAGACATTTTCATAATATTTCACACTGTTATCTCCATTAACCTGTCTCTTTATTTCATATTTGTGAGCCAACAAATCACTACTTATTAAAAATTGCTTTTATTTTGCTTATTAAAAAATATTTTGAAAGCTGTAAGTGTTATTAGCTGCCAAATCTACTGCAGAAAATCCCCATCATTCTCAGCCCGTTTCCCCCACTATAATAAACACATTCAAGATTTGACAAACGCAATAATTAAGCACAGATACATACAATACAGCACACACACATGAAATAAACAGTCTTTAGATACAGTAACTGAATAAGATGCAAATAAACACTGTATAGTCTTGATTCTGTGCATTTTTAAATACAAATAATGTTGATCATTCTTAAAATGTTATTTTTTTTGTGTCTGAATGCTTTAAACTTGTTTACTTGCTTGTTTTATTGCAGTATGATGATGTATTTCCGACTTGAACTGAATATTGAGTAGGGGTGGGGTTCATTTCTGAGCTCCGCCTTTTATCTTTCATTCACAGCAAAATAATGGTTGGAGGGGCGTGGCTAAACATTATTCACCCAATTGAAATGTTAGCAGAGTAAAGATGACCTATTTCCAACTAAAACTGAATATTGATATGGAGTAGGGGGCGTGGTTTATTTCTGAGCTCCGCCTCTCATCTTTCACACAGCAAACTAATGCTTAGATGGGTGTGGCTAAGCATTTTTCACTTAATTCAAATGTTAGCGGAGTGAATATTGAGTAGGGGTGGGGTATATTTCTGAGCTCCGCCTCTTATCGTTCACTCACAGCTAACTAATGCTTGGATGGGTGTGGCTAAGCATATATTACACAATTAAAATGGTATTGGAGTTATGATCATCTGTTTCTAACTTAAACTAAATATTGAGTAGGGGGTGGGTTTATTTCGAAGCTCCGCCTCTTTCAGTTACAGCTAACTAATTGTTGAAGGGGCGTGGCTAAGCATTTTTTTTTACCCAATTCAAATAGTAGCAGTGTGAATACTGAGTATGGGGCGGGGTTTATTTCGGAGCTTTGCCTCTCATCTTTCACACAGGAAACTAATGGTTGGAGGGACGTGGCTAAGACTTTAGACTTCATTTCGAAGACGTAAAAAATTCAATAAATAAAATTATTAAGCAAAGTAAATAATACAACTCAATACAAAACAATTGTAACTTATACATTTCCATGTCTGAAAAGCAACAGAAAAAAATGGTTCAGAAACAATAAATAATAATCCACAACAATAATCAACAAATTAACTCCATAGTTTTGTCATCTCTAATAGTTTTTTGTATGTTTGTGAATATTGAGTGGGGGCGGGGTTTATTTCTGAGCTCCGCCTCTCATCTTTCACTCACAGCAAACTAATGCTAGGATAGGTGTGGCTAGGCATTTTCCACCCAATTCAAATAGTAATAGAATGAATAATGAGTAGGGGCGGGGTTTATTTCTGAGCTCTGCCTCTCATCTTTGACCCACAGCAAACTAATGCTTGGATGGGTGTGTCTAGGCATTTTTTTTATCTAATTCAAGTGGTAGCAGATTTATGATTACATATTTCCAACTAAAACTGAATATTGAATGGGGGGCGGGGTTTATTTTTGAGCTCCGCCTCATCTTTCACTAACAGCAAACTAATGGTTGGAGAGGCGTGGCTAGGGATTTTTTAACTAAATCAAATAGTAGCGAAGTGAAATGTGTAGGGGCGGGGTTTGTTTTTGAGCTCTGCCTCATCTTTTACTCACAGCAAACTAATGGTTGGAGGGGCGTGGCTAAGACTTTCCCAATTCAAGTAGTAGCAGAGTGAATTTTGAGTAAGGGGGGGGGATTATTTTTGAGCTCCGCCTTTCTTCTTTCACTCACAGCAAACATAAGTTTGGAGGGGCGTGGCTAAGCATTTATCACCCAATTCAAATGGTAGCTGAGTGAAAATTAAGAAGGGGGAGAGGTTTATTTTTGAGCTCCGCCTTCTATTTTACCTGTACATCAAACTATTGGTTGCAGGGGCGTGGCTAAGCATTTTTCACCCATTTCTAATGGTAGCAGAGTAGATCCTCACCTCCTCCAGCTCTGTCAGTAATGTGGTGTTAAAAGCTTTCTGGAAGTCCCGGATAAACGCCCTGTCGGACTGATACCGGAGCTTGTTTGCGAGGATGACAGTTGTCCCACTCTGACAGAAGTGCTGCAGGGTTTGGAGCAGCTCGCTCAGGCAGTCGTGATGATAGACGGTGTCAGCTGCCAGAATATAATCATAATGGTGTGAGGAGCGAGGGAACATCTGCTCCAGTCTGTGTCCCCATTGCAGAGCGGAAACCTGAGGCTCGTATCTGCGCCACCCGCGGGTGCTCCTGTTCACATTACACCTCAGATTACCCAGGAGTTCTGGCAGGTCCGTGGCTGTCACTTTAGCACCTGTAAATCAGAGCTGTCATTTAGTGTTCGGGGTTTAAAATGAGTCTAAATCAAGGCATTGATTGATAAAACATGCCACGCTATTAACAACTGGCTTATTAGCATATTCATATTTACATCTCTAATCTTACCTGAAACCTTGACCGAAGTTCTGCCGTACTCTTAACCAGTAACCACTGACCCCTCAAAGGGAAGTTCACTAAAGAGAAGTGAAATCGATTTTGCTAGACTTACCCAGAAGTGTGGCCACTATTGAGACGAGGCCCGTTCCCGCTCCGAGCTCCAGGGTTGATTTATCCAGTAAACTGATCTGCTTTTGCCCTGCTTGGGTGTCCAGGAATCGGCAGAGGGCCAGTGCCTATTGGATTAAAACCATATGATCAGGATCATTCCTGAAACACTTCATTAAAATCTAAAGGGAGCAGAGCTTTTACAGTTCTTAGTCCAGTGCTCTGGAACTCTGCACGCATCCATCAGAGCATGCTTCACACCATTGCCTTGATATTCATACACTGTAAATAATCTCTGTTAATGAACAGTTTCCATATTTAGTGATTTACTAGTGTTTTCCTTTATTTCTGGGTGTGTTTTGCATTATGGGATGTTGATCTCTGCTTTCGACTTTTGATGTTGAAAAGCTCTCAAACAGTGTTCCACGCACTATCTGCGCTTTTCAGACACAACACTCTTGTCTTCCTGATCTAACAGTGGTGTGTTAATGCTGAATGTGTTGATGCTCACCGCTGGCCACACCACTCCTCCATAATGATCTATAGACTCCTGAATCTTAATTTCATGTCCCAGAAAGCTGTAGATCTCCTTCCCCAGACTGTAGTAGACTGTGGGAGCCCAGGATCTCCGCTCGGGTGGCTTTGAGTCAACCGATTCAGCTGGGGGAAAGAGGATCACATTGATTCATTTAGCACAGGGGTTCCCAAACTTTTCAGCACGCGACCCCTAAAATAACAATACCAGTGACTCGCGACCCCCAATATCCCCTGAGGTGGTTATAAATACAGAAAACTTGCATGCAATGGCGCACACACACACCAATAGACCAAAGTCTATTCTTCGTTTAATTTTTTACATGTATTTCAGTGCTGTAAATGGGCCAGAAAGTTTAACCTGGTATTATAAAATCAATCTGCTGCATCTGACGCTATTGATGTCTTTAAAAAAATAATGTATTTACCCCAGGATCGCAATCCAATAGAACAAGTAAATAAGCTACTATAGTAACTATAAACGGCTGTTTTTTTCTCATCAGTTGGTTATGGATAAAATATGGTAATTCTTATGGTTTAATAATAATAAGTAGATTTTTGGAAATCACCAGGCGACCCCCCCCTTCATTGTTCCGCGACCCCTCAAGGGGTCCCGACCCCCACTTTGAGAACCACTGATTTAGCAGACAAAACAAACATCCATATAAGCAACTAAAGCCAGGCTCATAGTGCAAATGTATTCAATGATTGTAGCTTGTCGGACTGTATGAACAGGATCGTTATGTCACACTCATGGGATGTTTTTCCCCTGTTTTTGCAGTTCAATTATTTGAACTTGTGCGGTGGACATGATTGCACCAATATTTGCTTCTACTCACCTGTTTGCATTGACTTTTTATGTAGTTTACTTGCACGAATACTTCATTCTGTGTTTGGTGTTAACCCACACCTCAGTTGTCATAATGTCAGTGTGCAACAATCCATACGTACTAAATAATGGACATGCAAGACTAAACCAGAGTTTGACGTTATTCATCAGTAATGCGTTCAGTAAACTGCATTCTGAAATAAAACCTAACAGTAAACATAAACAATCTCAATCGTAAATTTTTCTTATAATATAAAGCCAGAAAAACCTTGATTTGATATTTCCCTGCGGTGGTTTAATGTTGTCGTCATTGTTGTAATCAACCTATTGGTTTAACAGTGGTCATAGTTCAATCACTCTGCAGGAAAGATTCTTACATTTTCGGACACACCTGAGGGAACATTTGACCCCAGCGCTCATTAATTGGCTGTCAGTGATCCTGTTAAACCAACCATCAAAACCACAGTCAAAGCAAAGAGCTTAGAATGACCAAGAGGCGACACTCAATAGAAGGTTCCATTGCAACAGCAGCGCCCAGCAATTTTGGAGTAAAAGCGATCGGCTGTCCATTGGATATTATTGCCGTTGCAATGGCGAGCAGCCGCTTTGTTTATCATTTATTTAGTTAAAAAGCGCATTAAAGCTGAGATGCAACCTGAAAGACGACAATACAACACTTACTATCACAATCATCAGCACTTTTAATAGTTTATTTTACAGACTTATAATATGCTGTTGTTCTATTGGAGTTTTCATTCCAAAATGGCTGCTGCACCATCTAGTGGCTGTTTCCCAAATTGCACTAGAGTGTCGCCTCTTGGTGATTCTATGCTTTGGTCAAAGTCTGAAGTTGCTGAATCTTTTATGTCAGTATGTCAATGTACTTCCAACTGAAATGCAGTAGAGTAAGGGGTGGGGTTTTCTTTTTGCGCATTATTCCCTTGCAGAAACCTTACAATAAGAGGGGCGTGGCTTAAGAATATTGTGTTTGAAGCTTCAAACTGACATCAGAAAAGGAGCCAATCCAAACGCAGAAGCAGATGCTCAGACTTTAACATCTTTATCAGTGGATTAAATTGCACAGAATAATTGTTCACCTGTAGAATAATAATATGCAAATTTAGATTTCACACACACTTTAAGCCTAGGGTTACAGGAATGTTTTAGGATTTCCAAATTTGTCTTAAATTAAATCTAACTCAACATTTTTAGTGGTGTTTGGGTAAATCTTGACCTCTCCATTGGCTGCAAGCAAGCCGGTGTTGAAGGTCTTTTATTAAAGGTGCCGTATACTGCATTGGTCTAACGACTTTAATTGTTCTCTGGTATCTACATAATAGGTTCATGGCTTCAATAAGTTCAAAACATGTCCATAAATAGTTTAACAAGCCTATTTATTACGCCATAAATTACCCCTAGAATCTAAAGGTCCATGATTGACCATATAATACAAATTATACAAATATAAACCCAATCCAAGTAACATTGACCTATTTTACTCACCAGATCTGTTGTGGATAAAGGTTAAATTATAATTAAACTTAACTAAAGAGAGTGATTTCACCACTGGAATTTACATGAAAATAAGGAAACAGTGGTCTCACGCTCGCAGTATGTCCATTTCCATATCCTGATCTTTTATCATTCTACTATGCCTTAGTATACCCAGACTTTCCAGGGCACATTTAAAGGTAGTAATTATAGCCTAAATTGCACAATGTGAGCCTGGCTTTACCTGATATTCGCACTCCTAACCTTCTTTGAGCTCCTCATGCTCTGCAGATCTCCCACACTCCTTTGGTTCTTCATAGTCTTGCTTGTCATTTTGCAGTCTATGATCATCAACACACTCCAGCTCATCCTCCACATCATCTACAGCATGTTCAGTCTCTCTTATAGACTTTACTTCTCCAATATCTGACTCAAAGTCAACATTATACTCATCTTCCACATCATTTTCAGTCTCTCTTATAGAGTTTGCTTCTTCAATATCCGACTCAAAGTCAGCATCGTCCTCCTCTCCCTCATTTATCTCCTGAACATGATGATCTTCCCTACAGGTTCCTACATAAATCCTCACATCGTCCAACTCCTCAAGAAGTCTGGCATCGAAGTATCTGAAGAAGTCATCGATGAAGCTCAGATCTCTGGCATAGCGGACTTTGTTTGCCCACACTAGAGTAGTTCCAGGCTGGCAGAAGTGCCTCATGGTGGCCATCAGCTCTGTTAGATAGTCGTGATGATAGACTACATCTGTGGCCAGCACATAGTCGTATCGGTGTGTGGATTTGGGGAAGGTTTCGTCCAGTTTTTCACCCCAGAAAAGCTCTGTGACCCGTGGCTCATATTTCCTCCGTCCTCTTGTGTTCCTGTTGAGGTTGCATGTCAGATTACTCAGAATCTCAGGTAAATCCGTGGCAGTTAGTTTGGCACCTATAGAGCAGTTTCAGTCATTATTCTGAAAATGTACACCACCAAACACTAATGGACCCTTTTATCATGAGAATCATGTTAAATGTACTGTAATGCAGTGTGTCCCTCACACACGCAGGAATTCACTCATTGTAATTTAATGCAAAGATGATATAATTCATTCAGAAATGCAGCGGGGACAATAAGTATTGAATACATCACAAATTTTCCTCAGGAAACATCATTCTAAAGCTGCTGTTGACTTGAATGTTTTCCTAGATGTGGGTAACAACCATAGAAATCCATGAATGTGAAGAAAACTAAACTAATAAGCGTACAAATGTAGTACATAATATGACGCAGACAAAGAGTGTTGAACACATGAAGAAAGGGAGGTGTATTTGTGCAGTGAAGGCCCAGACAGCAGCTGGAATCTCTCAGTGGTTCTTCAGCAAGCCTCTGCCCTTCCTCAGAGTAAATAAACATCAGCTGCTTCAGTCCAACATCTACATCAGCAGGAGGATGAAGATCAAACCATTTCAGCAAGATATTGATCCAAAACACAGCCGAGGAGACTCTCAGATGATTTTAGAGAAAGAAAATTAAGCTGTGGAATGGCCCAGCCAATCACCTGATCCCGAATCCAATAGAGAATACAGAATAAAGCTCAGATTTGATAGACGAGAGCCACAGAAGCATCAGGATTTAGAAACTCTGTTGGAGTCTGTAAGAAACTCACGGAGAGGCGTCTTTAAGCTGCGGATATAATATAAACCATTAAATACGTTTCAATAGTTCAGTGATTTCTCCTGTTCAGTGTCATTCCTCTGTTATCATACAGAACTAATTCTTCAGATTTGTTTGTTGTTTTATTTTTATGTTTGTATTGTTTGAGTTTTTACCAAAATCTAGTTCAATTCCATGTCAAAAGCCAATAATATTCCCAATATTCAATACTTATTTCCCCCACTGCACATATAAATGTTCATGCGTTTTTATTTCCAAAAATCTAAATATTAAAAACATTGAATGAATTAAGTATTGAATGAACGACTTAATTAACTTTCAGGAGGTTTAAGATGCTGATGACCATTAAACGCATCATAACAGTGTTGTGAAAAGGGTCCATTATAACTGTATGTAAATATATAAAGCATTATAAATCTCATGAACACTGACCCAGAAGAGTGATGATGGATGAAAGTAAGCCGGTTCCAGCTCCAAGCTCGAGAACAGATTTGTCAAGTAAATCAATCTTTTGTCTGCCCTCTGGTCTTTCCAGGAATCTGCAGAGAGCACGCGCCTATAGGAGAGAGCATGCACACACTGCACTTTAAAGATGGAGCATGCTTGTTTTGCAGGACTCTATAACTGTGGAAGGCTTTGAGGACTGCCAGTCTTATTCATTTCATTGATTTCTGCAAAATATTCAGGATGCACTATTAGTAGATTAGTTATTAACTCTGTTGCTGTGAGATTTCAGTCAGTTCACTTTTTAAAAACAATGATGTGATGAATATGCAGTGTGTATGTGTATGCAGAGCTGTTTTAGACATACCATGTGGTATCTGGTTTTGAGGTTAGCATCTGGAGCTAAAGCACAGAATGGTGGAACATGTCAAATCTGTTATCCTCAACTCTGTTACATGGGTTATCAAAAGGCAGAACAATCTGGAAAGCATTGATGGAAAAAAGCATGTGACTTGCTGCAAGGGATGTCACTTCATGTGGTGAAAATCTCTGGAAGGCACTGAGGTGCATTATTTTTATTATTCATTCATTCATTTTCTTGTCGGCTTACTCCCTTTATTAATCCGGGGTCGCCACAGCGGAATGAACTGCCAACTTATCCAGCAAGTTTTTACGGAGCGGATGCCCTTCCAGCCGCAACCCATCTCTGGGAAACATCCACACCCATTCACACACTCATACACTTTGGACAATTTAGCCTACCCAATTCACCTGTACCGCATGTCTTTGGACCGGAGGAAACCCACGCGAAGGCAGGGAGAACATGCAAACTCCACACAGAAACGCCAACTGAGCCGAGGATCGAACCAGCGACCTTCTTGCTGTGAGACAAACGTGCTACCCACTGCGCCACTGCCTCGCCATTATTATTATTATTATTATTATTATTATTATTATTATTATTATTATTATTATTATTATTATTATTATTATTATTATTATTATTCTCTTGTTAATTCATGCAAAATGTTCAGGATTCACCTATATTAGATACATTAGTTGTCTTTTCTGTTTTGATATTTCTGTTGTCATATTTCAGTCAGTTTCTCATTCAGTATTTATGAACAATAGCATGATGAAAATGCATCAAATAGTGTTTCAGACATGATGTGGAGTCTGGTTTGAGGTTGGCATCAGGAGCTAAATCACAAAATGCTGGGAAATGTCAACTCTGTTACTGGTTTAAGAAGTTTAACAATAATTAGTAACAGAATTAAATGTTCCCTAAACTAATTAAGCTATTTGCATCATTTTACATTAACGACAGATTGTCTGTTAATAATAGACAGTCAAGTTGAGCATTATTGTCATTGCACTACATGTGTGGAAGTAGGTGGGATAATTACAGGTTATGGAACATGAATGCAAAATGCTTGGCATGCACACATAACTCTAGAGTGTGTCTCATATATTTGACTCGTTTGTCTGCAGCTGAATACTCACCGCTGGCCATATTGTAGCTCCATAAGAATCCAGCGCCTCCTCAATTGTGATGGTCTCCCCCATGAAATGATAAACTTCTTTCCCAGGTCTGTAGTAAATAGTCGGCGCCCATGATCGCTTAATGCACTCGTCTTGTTTGTCCTTCTCTGTGCTTTCTCCTTTCTCTGAAAGATCAAATCAGACTCCAGTTCATTATAGGCCAGTCTTTCCCAACCCTGTTCCTGAAGGCACACTGACAGTACACACTCAACCTCTTCCCAAACATTCATTCATTTTCCTTCAGCTTAGTCCCTTTATTCATCAGGGGTCGCCAATGCAGAATAAACTACCAACTATTCCAGCATATGTTTTATGCTGTGAATGCCTTTCCAGCTATAACCCAGTACTGGGAAACACCCATACACACACACACACACACACTCATACACTACGGCCAATTTAGGTAATCAATTCCCCTAAAGCACATGTGTTTGGACTGTGGGGGAAACCAGAGCACCCGGAGGAAACCCACGCCAACACAGGGAGAACATGCAAACTCCACACAGAAACACCAACTGACCCAGCTGGGACTCAAATCAGTGACCTGAGTGCTGTGAGGCGACCACTGAGCCACCATGTCGCCCTCTTCCTTAACAAACACACCTGAATCAACTCATCAGAACACTAGACGAGACTCCAAAACCTGAAATGAATGGGTCATATATAAGGGAGACAGCCAAAGTGTGTACTGTTGGTGTGCTTCCAGGAACAGGGTTGGGTAACACTGCATTAGGCAGCATCACTTTAAAACACAGGTGTCAAACTCAGTTCATGGAGGGCCGCAGCTCTGCACAGTTTAGTTCCAACCCTAATTAAACACACCTGATCAAACTGATTGAGTCCTTCAGGCTTGTTTGAAACCTACAGGTGTGTTGGAGCAGGGTTGGAACTAAACTGTGCAGGGCTTTGGCCCTCCAGGAATCGAGTTTGACACCCCTGCTTTAAAACATTCAAAATCAATTACTGACCCAATTTCTGATCTGCTAATGTTGAATCCTTCAGTATGCAGTCTTTATTTTCTTCACTCTCCTGTGGTTCAGGGTTTGAGCTGTCCTCAATATCATCCTCCATCTCTAATGTTTCCTCCATATCAACCCTTAACTCTTTAAACTCTGCATCTTCATTTCCACATTCAGGTTTCTGTTCTCTAAATATTTCTTCATTAAAGTCTTCTCCCTTCACTTGTTCTTCATCCATTATTTCTGACTCTTTTGCGGTGGCGGCGTAAATCTTGACCTCTCCGTCGTCTGCAAGTAATCTTGTGTTGAAGCTCTTTTTAAAGTTCTCCACAAACAGCAGGTCAGTGCCGAAGCGGGTTTTGTTGGCCCATATGAGTGTGGTTCCCGGCTGGCAGAAGTGCCGCATGGTGACCAGTAGTTCTGCCAGGTAATCGTGATGATAAACCACATCCGCTGCTAATATATAGTCGTATCTGTAGACCGAGTGAGGGAAGGTTTTCTCCAGCTCGTAGCCCCAGGTGAGCTCCTCCACCTGCGGGGTGTACCTGCAGCGGCCGCGGGTGTTTCTGCACAGGTTGGCTCTCAGGTTCCCAAGGACGTCCGGCAGATCAGTCGCAGTGACCCAAGATCCTGGAGGAGAAATTACAGGTAATTATTAAAGACTATATGTTATAAAGGGCCTCACCTGTTATTGTTTTGTTTGTGTGTGAATGCACAAGTGTATGGGTGTTTTCCAGTGTTGGGTTGCGGATAAGTTGGGGGTTCATTCCGCTGTGGCGACCCCTGATTAATAAAGGGACTAAGCTGAAAAGAAAATAAATGAATGTTTTGTTTGTTGTTGATTTCTAAGCAGGTATGAAGGTTTTTTTGAGGTGATTTAACAGGTAAGAAAACACCTTATTGTAGGCCTCGTTTAGGAACCAGTTGTAAATAAATATGGGAGCCATTTCAGTAATATTATAGTAATTCAGTCATTTTTTAAACAGTTGGTGAATGTTTTTGAAGCTGATTTTACAGGTAATTATTAATATAATGGGTCTCATTTATGAAGCATTTAGATATATAGGTGTAATTTCTGTATAACAGAACTGCTCAAACTCGCCTCTAGATGCACAAATGCTTCATATAGATCAGATTTGATGGTGGTGTATAGCTGTCAATGGGGTATATGCACACAGACTTTACATTTTCAGCCAGCCAGCCTCTTTCCATTATAAAATCGCCATGTTTAAGATCCGATTTCTTTAAAACTCAATGATCTTCCCTGCCTTATAGATATACAATATGAAGTGGGTCTCAAATCGAGCAAGAAGCACTGTATTAAATACCATTTCCCCTGGCCATGCCTTTAAAATATGACTTTATTTTACTCCAATAGAGGGGCGTCATGGTGACTCGGTGGTTAGCACTGTCGCCTCACAGCAAGAAGGTCTTTGGTTCGAGTTCCGTCTGGGTCAGTTAGTGTTTCTGTGTGGAGTTTGCATGTTCTCCCCGTGTTGGTGTGGGTTTCCCTCACAGTCCAAACACATGCGCTATAGGGGAACTGATCAACTAAACTGGCCGTAGTGTATGAGTGTGTGTGTGTCTGTGTTTCACAGTGTTGGGTTGCAGCTGGAAGGGCATCCGCTGTGTAAAACATATCCTGGATAAGTTGGCGGTTCATTCCGCTGTGGCGACCCCTGATTAATAAAGGGACCAAGCCGAAAAGAAAATAAATGAATGAATTGTCAATAGAGTTTCTGCACTAGCATGCAGGTACTGACGGTGCATGCAATTACACAGTCTTTCATCTCGTTTTACGCTTGAACGACTAAATGAATGCCTAAGTCTGTTTAACTGAGTGTATTTTAATTAAATTACAATATCGATGCTGTAAAAGGAACCGTATGATATTGAAAACAGTCACATTAAGCTTTCAGCAGAAGTCTGTCATTGGCTGAAAACACCAGCTGTGCAGATACCCTGTTCTGTTCTTCTGCACTGGCTCATATTTTTCTTTAAAGTTATTTTTGTTATTTGAATCGATGTTTAAAAATCTTGTAAAAGTTAAATGAAATAGTTTTGTTGTAACCACCCAACCAACCTGACCTTGTGTAATAGTATTTGCCTGTGCATCAAACTTCATGCGCTTCCAAGACGAACACAGAAGTGTTGGGAAGCATTTTCGCATATTAGGGATCAGGTGTATGTTTGTTTATCACCAACTAACAATTGGAAAATATGAACGCTTTTATTGAATTCATCTTTATTTCTCCAGCACTTTCACAATGTAGATTGTGTCAAAGCAGTTTAACAGATTATAGTGTACTGAAACAGTGTCAGTCCAGTGTTCAGAGTTTAAGTTCAGTTCAGTGTGGTTTATATTTCACTCCTGAAAGTCCAAACACTGAACAGCTTTCATGAATATGTAAAGTCAGAACAGCTTTATGAGTGATTTACACTCTTAATGTAATTATGATTTCAATGCTTACCCAGCAGACTGGCCACGATGGACACCAGACCCGTACCCGCTCCAATCTCCAGAACCGCCTTGTCCAGAAGATCTATCGTCGATTGGTGGGACTCGAGGTAATGACACAGAGCCAGAGCCTACATCATAATTCATGCATGTGATGATGAAAAATTGAGTTGCCAACATTTTATTTAGCTGAATTGCTAATATAATTTAAATCAGCATGAGCCGGCAGATTTTTGACAGAGAATGCTGCTCCTGTCTCTGTTCATCTAAAACTCCACATCTATAATCCTCTTAGTCTATGCTGACATCATCTTCAGCAGCTCAAACACTCTAATGGCGAATGGACAGACGGCTGCTTCTCACTCAGGGCTGCTGGACATGCTAATGAGATGGAGAGATGGGCACTAGTGGGCGGGGCTTTCCCCTCTGATGACACGTACAAAGAGAGTATGCCAATCAAAGTGTGTCTGCATCAAGTCTGATTATAATAAACACAATTAATTACTCTTCACCATTAGAGGCTGCTGGAGATACACACACTGCTGGGTTTAAACCCAGTATAAAAGTGATTTCTATATAATAGGTCCTCTTAGTAATAGTCCCAGAAACCCTGATGGTATCTCAGTATGTAATAAGCAGAAGGTCTGGTCTCACCGCAGGCCAGATGACGGCACCGAATGAATCCAGAGATTCCCAGATTTTGATCTCTTGACCAGCGAAATAAACGATCTCCTTCCCGATGGTGGACAGAACACTGGGCTCCCAGCATGCTTTGCGCTCACAGGCTTCACCTTCTGCTTAACATAATTAATGAAACACAGATGCATTCCCATTCAATGCAGATTCAGAGCAGGTCATCTTGCCTGTGCATTTTTAAGTTCTGTACCTTCATCTTCATCTTCTTTTCTGTTCATCTTTACTGCAACTCCTGCATTTCCACACTGAACACCTTCCATAATGACTTCTGCTGCCTGACAGGACAAAATATTTTCAAATCATCAAAACATAATAAAATAAATACATATAAATATAAAAAACAAAATAATATATAGAGGTAACTGGTGATCGGGGACCTTTAACCAGGACAGACTACTGTGCATAGTTTTAGATACATGATCAGCATTTAAAGGAACTTGACGCTGGTGAATGTTGTAGCAATTACATTGTGTTTCCAATAGGTGGCGACAAACAACCATCAAAATTATGTCACTGAATAGGTTTTTAAAAATGATCCACCTATAATGAAACAGGAAGTTTTATGTGTAAATTGTTAAATCAATAACTAAACATAAATATGATCTGTTGTACAAGATGTTAGATTTCTATATTTAGCATATCAGCAACAGTAGCAAAGATCATTTTTTTTGTATTGAATATTTTCCTTTTCAGCTGGTTCTTTCTTGATTTTTATCTTTACACACACACACACACACACACACACACACACACACACACACACACACACACGCACACACACACACACACACACATATATATGTATATATATATTAAAAAATATATATTATATATATATATATATATAAGTTGTTACTGGGAGATATTACTAGACTTTGGTACTTTTGTGTTGACTATATTGTTATTAATTATATTGTGATCAAAATCAACAAAGTTACCATATAAGGTTCCTCACCTGATAAAGGGTTGAAGCTATTGGCCAGAAATGGTGTGGGAGGGGCTTGATTCCATGGGGATTTAATGGATGGTTGTGGTTTGCTATTGGTGGATCACATATGAGTGACAGGTCGACTCCGCCCCCACATCATTAAGCACCAATCAGAGAAGAAAAGAGATTAGGTTCTGTTAAAGGAGAGAAAGTGATTTTAATTCATGAATTTAAAATAAATCAAATGTTAGTGATAGTAATAAACACATTACTCCATAAAATGGCATTTTGATTTCATGGAGAAAATATATATATATATATATATTTTTTTTTTTTTTTTTTTTTTTTTTTTGGTGACTATAGCTCATAAATCAGTACCTGAAAATTCAGGGATGTAGCAAACACAAAATGCATGCAGTGATTTTTATGATTTCTCAATTAAAGACCTCAGAGCTTCAGCTTTAATGCATATTAATTTATTTATTAATGCATATATAAGAAATGCATTCATGCTACAGACAGATCAACAATATGGAGATGAATGTTTGCCTCAGCCTTCCTCAAATGCAAACAACATTATAAATCAATGACAAAAAAAATTAACAAACACAAGTGCAGGGATTTAATTTCTCAATTAAAGACAAGAAGGTACCTCAAAACTTTAGCTCTACATGCAAGCTAATAGTGCACTAATAATTAACTCATAAATAATAAATGCATTCATGCTGCAGTCACATCAACAATGTTTAGTATTTATATTTATAATGATAATAATAAATAATAAATTAATCATAATAAAAATAAATAATAATAATATTTGTGTTATTGTTATTATTATTATTATTATTATTATTATTATTATTATTATTATTATTATTATTATTATTATTACTATTAATACTATAATTAGTATTATATTATTGTTACTATTAATACTATTAACCAGAAAAGATGTACTGTTGGTGGGGATATTAGATGGTTGTTTACTATTGGTGGATCACACATGAGTGACAGGTTGACTCCGCCTCTCATATCATTACACACCAATCAGAGAAGAGTTTAGGTGGTGTTGAAGAAGAAGAGGTGATGAAATAAATCCTTAAAACAAGAAATAAAATCACAATTCCCCATTATATATTAGATTGTTTGTCTTGTTTCTATTCCAAATATCTAAAAAGTCTTAAATCAAGAAGAATTTTCTAGACAAGCAAAACATATTGTCTTGTTTTCAGAAATAATATGCTAAAATTAGGGGAATTTTTCCTTAAAATAAGCTAAATAATCTGCCAATGGGGTGAGCAAAATAATCTTATGTCAAAAGGAAAAACAAGATTATTTTGCTTACCCCATTGGCAGATTATTTAGCTTGTTTTAAGGAAAACCTCACTTAAATTTGGCATATTATTTCTGAAAACAAGACAATATGTTTTGCTTGTCTAGAAAATGCTTCTTGATTTAAGAATTTTTAGATATTTGTACTAGAAACAAGACAAAAAATCTAAGTAAGAAAAGCATTTTTTGCAGTGTATTCTTGATTTCATGACAACTTATTTTATTTCAATGTTAGTTTTGTTGATGTATGCACAAATAAAATGGCTAAAAATTCAATTAAGTAGCAAAACACAAGAGCAGGGATATTATTTCTCAATTAAAGACGAGGTAGCTCAAAACTTAAGATGCACACACAAGCAAAATAGCACACTCATTATTAAAGCATATAAGAGAAATGCATTCATGCTGCAGTCAGATCAACAATATGGAGATGCACATTAATCTCAGGCTTACAGAATTTCCTCGAGAAAAGCATTTCATTAAATCCTGTTGGGTCAGTCTGCTCTGGTTTTGTGGTTATTTGTGCAGAGCATCGGCCGCTCAGCAGTGTTTATACTATAGCGTCACACTGCAGGACTATATTTATCAGAAGATTCATGAAGCAATGGCACTAACACACACACACACACACACACACACACACACTGACATGATGAGGAGATCTATTTGAGGAAAGCAGAAACAAACACTGATAATCCAGCTGTACAGATGCCTGCAGCTGGAGGAGCGCTGAAAGGTGATTCACAACACTGATATAGGAAAACACTGCAGGAGGATATACCTCATTATAAATCATATTTGAGAGATTATACACAAATTAATCACAGTATACAATAAACATATGTATCTTAAAATGGTTAAGAGTTTACAATAATTTGTTTTACAGCCTTTACAATAAGGTTGCATTAGTTAATGCATTTCCTAACAGGAATAAACAAATCAAATCACTTTATTGTCACATCATCAGCAGATCGTGTGTTATGATGAGTGAAAAGCTTAGGTGCTGGCCCCAGACTGTACAAAATGCAAAGAGAGCAAATATGATGACGGCGATATATGCAATGAATAGGTGTCCACATGGTTGTAGGCAGTATTGTTTCTAGTATGGGTTGGTTAAAGTGCAGTGCATGCTACATATTGATGGTGTGCAGTGAGGCGTGTGGAAGAGTCTGTGTGTGTTGTGTTAAGTGTTCGTCAGCCTGATAGTCTGAGGGAAGAAGCTTTCCTTCAGTCGGTTGGTGCGTGACCGTGCTGTGGAACCGTCTGCCTGAGGGCAGCAGAGAGAAAAGTCTACGGCTTGGGTGGCTGGAGTCACTGATGATTCTCTTGGCTTTCCTCATGCACCGCCTGGTGTAGATGTCCTGGAGGGAGGGAAGCTCACTTCCTACTACGCGTCCCGCAGTTCGCACACTCCTATGTAGGCCTTTGCGATTGCTGCTGGTGCTGTTTCCATACCAGGTGGTGATGCAGCCAGACAGGATGCTCTTCACAGTGCAGGGGTAGAACCAGCGGAGGATGTGGGGGCTCATGAACAATACATGTGTTGGTTCATGTTAGTTAATAGAAATATAGTTCATTTTGAGTTGGTTTACTCACGGTGCATTGACTAATGTTAACAAGCATGACGTTGGATGTTAAAGGGGTGGTCCACTACGATATCATATTTTATACTTTAGTTGATGTGTCATGTAGCTGTGTGAACATAAACAACATCTCTGAATGTAAAAAGTTCAATGCAAAGGGAGACCTTGGGTTTTACAGAGTTAGCTTAGCAAAGCATACAATGAACGAATTATGGGGACTACAAAAAATACTTCCTCCCCCTGTGAGATCACAAAAGTTTGTTACTGCGCATCCAAACTGCGCATGCAGGTAAGGGTCGTGGCCAGAGGCGCTGTAACGTTATAGCAGAGATGAAGCTAAAAATGCGTCTAAACACTGCTGTTTCCACAGAGCTTCGTGTGTTTCTGTATTTGGGCTTCCAAAGGACACGACACAAAGACAGAAGTGCTCACAGTTCAATATTAATTATGTTCCAGAGAATTATAAAATACACAGCACGCATGATCTGACAAAACAGCTCCAGAATCTCTGTTCAGTGCTGGATTCGGCTAAAATCTCCTCAAAGCAGAAGTTGTGATCAACAATCGGTAAGTGTTTTTATTAGTTAATATTGATCATGACAGTGTCTAGCGTTAACGATATGCTAGCAACGATGTAAACAATGGGAAATGCTGCTTTGCGGGCAAATGATTGAGCTACAAATTCATATTTATCAGTCAAACTGCTGTAAACACACACACACACACACACACACACACACACACACACACACACACACACACACACACACACACACACACCACCAGCATGTTCGTGTCTCTTATGTGTGTGCACGCGCGACTGCATTGATTGTCTTCAGGCAGCTTTTCCATGCATTACACATCTCAGATAATGAAGTCGTAAAAGATATGTGGATGATTCATATTACTTACACCTGCATATTCCGGATACATGTGAAAGCCGTCATGTAACGCATAGAGTTAAAAAAAAATACAGGTTAGCTCACCTGACTCGTGGTCGCAGCAGAATAATAAATCGAGGCTCAACAGGTCGCATCCCACATCTTGTGCTTTATTCTTCTGTCATGATATACTACAGAAAACCACTTAATCTGAGCATCAGAGAAAAAGAAAAAAACTCCCGTGCACATGCGCTTGCTATAGAAAGTTCACACATTCACACACACACACACACACACACACATAGACACACACACAATGGCAAACTCTTAAAGGAGCCGCACCCCATTTTCACTGGTTACAGACACTTGTCAGATTTTATTTTAGAGCAGGCAGGAGGTTGACTGCATGTTTACACAGCAGAAAAGTGCGTGCTTTTACGGGCGTGACGTGGAGCCGATCCACGAATAGCAGCACATTATGACGATGACCAATCAGAGTCACTTAAGGGCGGGCCTTTTAGAGGAACTAGGAAATATGACAGTGGTTTTCATGTTAGCTGAGTAGCTGTGAATAATCAAAGTGAGATATCTGAAAAAATAACAAGTGAAACATGAGCACACATTGCTTTGCATCTTATAAACACAACCAAGCCTTAAATTACATTGTGGACCAGCCCTTAAATAATGCATTAGTAAATGCTGAACTATGATCAATCAGAATCAGAAAGAGCTTTATTGCCGGGTATGTTCACACATAGGAGAAATTAGTTTTGGTGACAGAGCTTCTACAGTGCAACATAATTACAAAGACAAGACACAAAACAGATAATCAATATATCTTAAAATAGAAGCAAGTAGTGAATGCAAATGTACAAAAAGACAAGTGTATGTATATATACAATGTTATATGTGCAGCTGTTATGTGCAAATTGGCATGTAAAGTAAGTTGTTCAATAAGTGTATGTGTGTATTAAAGTGTATAGCAGGTGGTGATGTTTGTTTCACAATTACTGTAATAAATACTGTGCAAGTGTTGTTCATTATTAGTTTATGTTAGTTTATGAACTAATGAAATGTTGTAAACTGTGAACCCTAAAATAATCAGGAAAACACACACACACACACACACACACACACACACACACACACACACACACACACACACACACACACACACACACAGAACCAAACAGCTCAATTTGTATGTGATTACAATACAGGTGTGTTTTCATCTAAGAAATGCATGCAGACAACATAATATTACCAATACAGGGTCTTAATAATTCCCATACTTTGTTGAATAGATGTGTTTTACAGTGGATTATAGATTTTAGGACTGAATGCAGAGCCTGTGTGAGTCCTTTAGTTCAGGGGTTCTCAAAATTTCCAGCCTGCAACCCCCAAAATAACATTGCAGTGACTCGCGCCCCTCACATTTATCTCAGGTGGTTATAAACATACAAATGTTGCACGCACAACAATAGGCCTATATTAACACAGGCAGATCGACAACAAAAAAATGTGCAACAGTCAAACAACCATAGGCTATCCTTTATATAGTCATTTATTAATTTGTTTAACGTAATATTAACCTCAGCTAAAGAGACTGGGAGACATGTTGTCAGAACAAGTCTATTCTTGGTTTAATTTTGGAGACCACCACCATGATTAAAGTTCAGAAGTGGCCTGTATTAATTTGTAATGTATTTGATTGCCATAAAGGTGTCAGAAAGTTTAACCTGCTGCTGTAAAATCCGTCTGCTGCAGCTGACACTATTGCTGTGTTGTTAATCTACTGTAAACACACAATCTAAAATAAATAAGTAATAAAGACTGATGGCTTTTTATTTGCATGTTGTTGCTTTTTAATGTAATGTATTTTGATCTTCTGTGGGTTATGGATAAAATATGGCAATTCTAATAGTTTAATTAAATGTATTTGACTTTTTGAAACCACCAAGCGACCCTCTATCATTGTCCCTCGATCCCCACTTTAACAACCACTGCTTTAGTTCATTACTAAACAAAAGAAGGAAGGAATATGTTGATTCAGTGTCTGAGTTATTATTAATGGTAACATCAACTAACTAACAAACAACTACAGTTGAAGACCAAATTTATTATTATATGTGTATTGTATTAACATATTTTTAAGCATAATAAATGTTAAGTATGGTGACAGTGGCTCAGTGGTTAGCATTGTTGCATAACAGCAAGAAGGTCACTGGTTCGAGTCAGTTGGCGTTTCTGTGTGGAGTTTGCATGTTCTCCCTGTGTTGGCGTGGGTTTCCTCCCACAGTCCAAACACATGCGCTATAGGAGAGATGATCAACTAAATTGGCCATAGTGTGTAAGTGTGTGTGTGTGTGTGTGAATGAGTGTGTATGGGTGTTTTTCAGTGCTGGGTTGCAGCTGCAAGGGCATCCGGTGTGTAAAACATATGCTGGAACAGTTGGTGAATAGTTGGCATTCCTCTGTGGTGACCCCTGATTATTAAAAGAACTAAGCCGAAGGAAAATGAATGAATGAACATTTGTTTAGTTTTTGCTCTGCAGGCAGTGATTTCACCAGATTAAGCTGCTTTCTGCTGAAACATCATTAATTATTAACATCAGTTAGAATGTCTGGATCAACAAAACGCACGAAATGCATATGACTGACATATGACTGATCGATAAAGCATATTAAATACACAAAATGTCTACTTTAATATTTAAAAATGCCATAATCTTTTTTTTAAAAGTCAGGTAGTCAGGTATTTATTTCTGTTTTTGATGGTTTCTCCATCTGTTTGTGTTGGTTTAGTGAGCTGTGCCTCTGTTATTTTGGGTTGCATTAGTTGAGTCCGGGCTGGCCTGTATGAGCGCAGGCTGTCGGTATGTGCTAAATGGATTCCACAGAAGGGAAACCCAATATAACACACACTTTATATCTCTGGAAACTCCTCTCGTGGTCTCCAGTTTCTGGTAAACGCTGTGGATCTGTGTGTGTGTGTGTGTGTGTGTGTGTGTGTGTGAGCAGCTTCTCCATGTAGGGGCAGAAATCTGCACTGAAGATGCAATTAGACACTTTTACAGCATCTGGCAACCCAGAACAGCTCAAAATGAGGAAATGATCATCTTTCCTGCAGGAGAGTGTGTGTGTGTGTCTGTGTGTGTGTGTGTGTGGGTGTGTGTGTGTGTGTGTGTGTGTGGACTGAAGCGCATGATCGCAGTATCAGATGCCTGTTTGTGTATGTGTGTATTTTTGTGTGTTTATGTGTGTACTTGTATGTGTTGTGTGATTGTTTGAGTGTGTGTATGGGGTTATGTTTTTGTATGTGTACTGAAGTGCATAATCCAAGTATCAGGTGTGTGTGTGTGTGTGTGCATGTGTGTGATTGAGTGTGTGTATGTGTGGTTGTGTTTTTGTGTGGACTGAAACACATGATCGCAATATCAGGTGTGTGTGTGTGTTTGTTTGTGTGAGTGTTTTGTGTGGTTGTGTTTTTGTGTGTGTGTTGACTGAAATGCATGATCACAATATCAGGTGTGTGTGTGTGTGTATGTGTGTGTGTGTTTGTTTGTTTGTGTGTGGACTGAAATACATGATCACAGTATCGTGTGTGTGTGTGTGTGTGTGTGTGTGTGTGTGTGTGTGTGTGTGTGTGTGTGTGCTTGTTTGTTTGTGTGTGGACTGAAATACATGATCGCAGTATCAGGTGTGTGTGTGTGTGTGTGTGTGTGTGTGTGTGTGTGTGTGTGTGTGTGTGTGTGTGTGTGTGTGTGAGTGTGTGTGTGATGGTTTAGATGATCCTCAGAGTAGATGCTTATGCTGATTTACTGCTGCTGGACACATCTGGAGCTCAATGAGATTACAAACCATCACAGAAACCTTCTAATGGAGGCATGTTTATAAAGAGGAGAACATCCCTGTATATGGCTCAGAGAGGGAAACGGCACATACATCATCATCCTACATATATATTTATATTAATATAGTGTAAGGCAGGTATTTCTCTGTGCCTTTTGTCAGCATTTGGCATCCATGATTTACAGTATGTGTGCAAAAACTAATAAATCAATAATTATTTAGAAGAGGAGTGATTTTGTGAGATTATTAACCCCTTCAAACTGGTTGTTTTTGCACTTTAATAATTTATTTTTTATATAACTTATTCAAAGTAAGTTTAAGAAAACTGAAGAATTCTGTGTCCGGCCCAATTTCACAACCTTGTGCTGAAAGAAAGTGAAAAAATGAAAAATAATGACAAAACTTATAAATGGGTTTGTCCATATTTGACCCATTATTGGGCTGTATGGCAACCCAGAGTCTTTAACAGTGTAAGGACACCTTCATACTGGGTTGCAGCTGGAAGGGCCTCTGCTGTGTAAAACACTGTGACGACCCCAGGGAATCAGGGACTAAGCTAAGGAAAAATGAAGGAGGTGGCGCGGTGGCGCAGTAGGTAGTGTTGCCGCCTCACTGCAAGAAAGTTACTGGTTCGAGTTTCGGCTGGGATTTTCATCATCATAAACACAATCACATTTACTATCATTATTATTATATTTTATTTATGAAAGTAGAACTCTTTATATTGTTTCATTTTAAAAAATATATCTATTGCAGAAGATTATTTCATCTCTATTTAGTTTTATTTTTGTTAAGTTTATTTGAATCTCTAAACAGTTCAGCTACGTTCATTCAGTTACGTGTTTTGTTTTGACACAAGCACTGTAGTTTGGTGTGTGAGATGTATGTCTGGCTCTGTTGCATGTGAAGATCATTTTCAGAACAGAAAGGTTTGAACATCAAACATCATACAGTCTCTAAAATAAAAAAGGTCCACACAAAAATGAAAGTTCACCATTTATTGTTCCAAACACGACACTTCTGTACAAAACAGCTTTGATTCCTCCTGACTTCCCATTGACTTTACTTGTAAAACAGAATAATTAACAACAGACTGTCGAATGATTAGAATATAACACAGAGCTGAGGTGTTGATGTGGTGAGGTGGAGTGTTGTCGCTCCTCAGGTGTGCATTATTCACTTATAATCCACCATCCCGCAGGTGATTATTGCTCTTCTCCTCTGGTCTCCAATAGTATCTGGATGCAGCCTTTATGATGCAAGCTGAGATTGCATCACTCAGCGATGCAATGTCAGACACAATGCACTAAATGGAGTGAGTGACGTCATTGTGAATGACGGGTAGGGTTAGGGGTGGGGTTAGGTAATTCCATTAAAAAGCATTGGATGCAGCCCAGATTGCACTGCACCAGGTCTGCATCCAGACCCTTCTCCTGGTCTCTGGTAGATCCACTGCTGAGATGTTGTGTCTGAGAGTGCATTAGTCAGGTTTCTGCTCCTGTGTGTAGCACTAGTGTCCTCCACATCTCCTCCTCCTCCTCTTGTGTTCTGATGTGATTTCTGATTGTTCTAGCTGTGAAATAACTTTAATCATTTAGCGGAGTGATATGGAGCTGCTCTAAATTTGCTGGAACTACTTTAGCTGTGCTTTTATCTGACAATAACCGAACACCATAGTATGTTTATACAACAGTCTTGTAGTGTAAAATAATATACATTTAATACTAATCATCCAACACAAATCAAAGTGTAAAAGATAAAATCAAGTTGTAAACAGAACTGATGTGGAATCAGTGTGTGTGTGTGTGTGTGTGTGTGTGTGTGTGTGTGTGTGTGTGTGTGTGTGTGTGTGTGCATGTGTGCGTATTATCGTTTATGTGCTCTGTAGAGTTTGATGCTGAGGCTGGGCAGGTCGTACAGCTCCTCCAGGTGGAAATGCTCCTGAAAGGTGTGGACGAAGCGGTTCTCGGGGTCCAGCCGGAACCTCATGGCCCACAGGATGACGGTGTGGTCAGAGCACAGGTGTATGAAGGTCTCCAGCAGCTCCTGCAGGTACAGAACGCACATATATTATCATTTACAGCATAGCGGTAAAAATACCTCCACAATCAGAGAAAATTCACTTATTATGATGACATTAAAAGCTGTAATTGGTCTGTGCAGTAAGTTATCATTACAGTAGTATGATAGTTTTGCATGTTTGAGCCTGTTTACACACAGATTCACTGACATTTTACTCTTATTTTGCTTAATTTTGAGTCAAGACACAGTTTATTACAGTGATTCTCAAAGTGGGGGCGCAGGCCATCAACAGAAAGAGAAAAGTAAACTGCAAACATAGGCAAGATGTATTTTTGTCCACTTTCAGCCCCTTCTCTGTGGACTACTTTATAAATAGGCTACTTGATGCATTGACTACTGAAACCTACAGGCAACTATTTATTCAAGAGTATCAAAGGGGGGCGTGATCAGGAAAGTTTAAGACTAATTGTATATAATATTATTGAATTAAACACAAATAATTCATTTACAGCCACAAGCATGTGTTTATTGTCTTATGGTTGATAAATTGATCAGTTTCTCTCATCTTGATCTACTTTTTTATCCTGCAGCTAAATGCCAGAAGATATGGTGATCATTTTCGGTTTCTACCTGCAGGTATGGGTGGCCGTACACCACGTCCGCCGCTAGGATGTAGTCATACTGACAGGTGTATCGGGGGAATCGCTCCTCCAGCTGCTGACCCCAGATCAGCTCTGTCACCTGCGGCTCGTGTCTGCAGCGCCCTCTGGTGTTACGATTCACATTGTGCCTCAGGTTGGCCAGGACGTCCGGCAGGTCAGTGGAGGTCACCTGTGCTCCTGTATTCAGCATTTATACAACTATAAGAGTATT